AAATACTCATGTATCGCCATCACACAGTTGCTTTTAATTAAAAACACAATTAATTCCGCTTTAATTTAGGGTGTGATAGGAACTTTCGTGAATGAACGAACTGCAATAGCCTACGCTTAAGGCGCTCAGCGAGGAGGAAAATCAATATAATTTGCTCAACGATTTGACGTCATTGCATGGGGGATAGAAATAGCGATGTAATGTGTTTACTTTTGATCGTAGTATCTTAATCGCAGCAGTAAAGCAGGGAGCATTGCAGCAGAGCTTGGAATCATTAAACAGCATGAAATCGGGGTTAAATTCCCGGCCCCCCACTCAGAGGTCGGAATGACCGCATGCGTGTTGCCAAAAATATGTCCGGTAAAGGGATACTAATTTTCGTGCGACAAAGTCCGGCCCGAGAATTGTAAAAAAAAGGGGTGTATTTGACTTTTAACCCGGAGATTTCTTTAAAAAGGGGGTGTTTTTCTTTTTTTTCTCTCATCTCTTTGGACTCCTGAGAAATTATTCCGAATTTAGGGGGGAGGGGTACATTGAGCATTTTTCCTGATTTAGGGGGGTCTCCAAGGCAGGAAAAGCACGCGAAAAGCCCGCGAAAGGGGGATTCGGAAATGTTGGCAGTCCTCAGATAGGGGGTGCTTTCAAAAAAAGGGTACGAGCATATGCGTACCCTAAATAACACTGAGTGGGGGGGGGGGGGGGCGGGGTTAAATTAAGCCAGTAATCATAGACGTACTGGCCAACAGTGGGGGGGGGGGGGGGTGACGCCTTGTGCCCGAAGCAATTCTTCAGTTTCTCAAACTTCCAAAGCGAGCGCGCTAATTTGCACTATGCACTTCTCTGTACTGTTAGTGAAACTACAAAAATTGCATTTATAATCGGGCACCTAGTCTGCTCGAAACTCTCGCTGCCAAAATAAATTGAGAGGATATTCGATGCCTGATAATGTGGTGGAGGTTGCCCGAATATTGGAACTTTTAAAATATTCAGGGGATGGGGTGCAGGTCCCTAGCCTCACGTCTCTTACGTCTTTGTCAATCAGGAACGGCCCGGCCGTCCAGGCAGGCGACGAGGGCGGGGGCCCATGCAATTCGTGAGAAAATATTTACCGGCGAACAAGTGGGGGAGGGGGGGGGTAGTGAGCTCTTTTTTTCTTTTTTATATTCAACACCCCCCCCCCCCCCTCTTTGAGCAAAAAAGAAGAAGGTAAAATTGAGGTTACCATCTTTAAACAAAACTTTTTACCAGGGGAGGGGGCCGTGCCCACCCCCCCCCCCCCCTGCCCCTTGATCTACAGCTGCTGTCAATAATTGTTATTTACTTCAGATCGGCCATTTTCACATCACTATCATGACAAGTGATTCAGTTTAGAGTTCATTAGATGTGTACTTATAGCTTGTTCGAATCTAGTTTATTATTTTCAGAAATTGTATACTCTTTTCTAAACTGCGGTATTCAAAAGCAATTATAATAGTAGGCCTACAATACGGTAGTCCTGAGTTGTAAAGCTAAATGTGAAAATATTTTCCTACGTTCAAATAACATAATATAAAATAATTGAATATTTTTGCAGAAAAATATTTGAATACATGATGTTAAGACATTTACCAATTACTTAAAAACACATTAAAAATGCACAAATTACAAATTAACATTTACAATTTGTGTATGCATGCCAGACCGCCATCATCAAACTTTTGAACAATAAAACAAATAACAATATAACAAAATAACAAAAAATAATAAATAACAACTGCCATAGATCGATCCATGACAAATATGTTCATAGCCAATCAACATTAATTTAAGGATTTCAGTAGTTCTAAACTTGTTATAATTATAGACAACATGTTTTTTTTTAGGAAACGAGGACCAGGTGAGTGCTTCGATAGACACCACAATTTGGACCCCTTTGAAAACAGCTTATAGCTGACAAGGGCGATCATCCCATGAGTGGAGAATAAATAAATAAATGAAAAAGAAAACCTTTTTCTCAAAAGTATTTTCTACAAATACATTAAATCGGGTGGACGTGCATGTATAATTAATTATATATGCCTTCTCCTTCCTCTGTACCCTCACACTCTGATCTCTCTCTCTCTCTCTCTCTCTCTCTCTCTCTCTCTCTCTCTCTCTTTCTCTCTCTCTCCCTCTCTCTCTCTCCCCCTCTCTCTCTCGCTCTCTGATCTCTCTCTCTCTCTCTCTCTCTCTCTCTCCCTCTCTCACTTTCTTATTCTCGATTGCCAACCCTAATTCCTTTTTCTGTACATTTTGCATCATGCAACATGGTAACTTTTTAAATAATTTCCAAATTTGTTGTTGTTGCATTCATTCTATTGGTAAAAAGAATTTACAGATTTACTAAAGTCACGAGCACAAAAACGGGCGACCCCATTATATTTTGACGAAATACATGACTGTTATAGTGGCCCTGAAGGGACATCGCGAATAGACTAAATCGTGAAAAATATGCGATAAAATTCACGATATCGTCAATTTTATCGCATATTTTTCACGAAGAAATTCACGAAATTGACGATATCGTGAACTTTATCGTGAACTTTTCACGATGAAATTGACGATATCGTGAATTTTATCGTGAAAAGTTCACGATATAAAGTTCACGATATCGTCAATTTTATCGTGTACTCTATCGTGTACTCTATCGTGTACTCTCCTGACGGGCGCTTCGTAAACAAAACCAGCCCTAGCTGGGGGAGACAGAGAGAAGGAAAAAAGGGAAAGGGAAAGAGAAGATAAAAGGAAAGAAAGAATAATAAGAAGAAAAGAGGGAAACGGGGGGGGGCGAAGGGCTCTTGCCTCCTCCTCACTCCCCCCCCCGCCAAAAAATAAATAAGGAGAGAGAGAAGGGAAAGGGAAAGGGAAAGAAAATATAAAAGGAAAGAAAGAAGAGGAAGAAGGAAAGAGGGAAACGGGGGAAGGGCGAAAGGCTCTTGCATCCCCCCGCCCAAAAAATAAATAAGAGAGAGAGAGAGAGAAGGGAAAGGGAAAGAGAATAAAAAAGGAAAGGAAGAAGAATAAGAAGAAAAGAGGGGCTCTTGCCTCCTCCCCCCTTCCGCGCCAACAAATAAATAGGAGAGAGATTGAGAGATAGAGAGAAGGGAAAGGGAAAGGGAAAGAAAATATAAAAGGAAAGAAAGAAGAAGAAGACGGAAAGATCGAGGGAAACGGGGGAAGGGCGAAAGGCTCTTACCTCCCCCTCCCCCCCCCCCCTTCTGCCATAAAGGGAAAGAGAAGGGAGAGGGAAAGAAAATATAAAAGGAAAGAAAGAAGAGGACAAAGAATAAGAAAAGAGGGAAACAGGGGCGAAGGGCTCTTGCCTCCTTTCTTGTCTTTCTTTTCCTTTCTTTCCTATTCTCCCTCTTTTTCGTTTTTCTCTTTCTTCTTCTCTTTCCCTTTCCTTCTCTCTCTCTCTTATTTATTTTTTGGCGGGGGGCGGGGGGACGAGGCAAAAAGCCCTTTGCCCCCGTTTCCCTCTTTTCTTCTTCTTCCTCTTCTTTCTTTCCTTTTATCTTCTCTTTCCCTTTCCCTTTCCCTTCTCTCTCTCTCTCTGATTTATTTTTTGGCGGGGGGAGGGGGGGGGGGGCAAGAGTCCTTCGCCCTTCCCCCGTTTTCCTCTTTTCTTCTTCTTCCTCTTCTTTCTTTCCTTTTATCTTCTCTTTCCCTTTCCCTTCTCTCTCTCTCTCTGATTTATTTTTTGGCGGGGAGGGGGGGGGGGGGGGAGTGAGGAGGAGGCAAAAGCCCTTCGCCCCCCCCCCCCGTTTCCCTCTTTTCTTCTTATTATTCTTTCTTTCCTTTTATCTTCTCTTTCCCTTTCCCTTTTTTTCCTTCTCTCTGTCTCCCCCAGCTAGGGCTGGTTTTGTTTACGAAGCGCCCGTCAGGAGAGTACACGATAGAGTACACGATAGAGTACACGATAAAATTGACGATATCGTGAACTTTATATCGTGAACTTTTCACGATAAAATTCACGATATCGTCAATTTCATCGTGAAAAGTTCACGATAAAGTTCACGATATCGTCAATTTCGTGAATTTCTTCGTGAAAAATATGCGATAAAATTGACGATATCGTGAATTTTATCGCATATTTTTCACGATTTAGTCTATTCGCGATGTCCCTTCAGGGCCACCATAGACTGTGAAGTAGGAATTTAGGACCTATATACCAGTGGCAGATCCAGGAGGGGGGGGGGGGGGGGGGGGGGGGGGGGGCGGCAAAAAAACAGGTAAAAACACGTTAATGTTACCTTTATTTGGAAACGGGCCCCTCCCCTGGTGCTCAAGGGGGGGGGGGGAAGGGGTGCGATGTTATTATTATTATAATTATTGCTCCTTACCCCCCCCCCCCTCCCCCCCACACACACACACTTATTCATCGGCTGGCTATTTCGCCGCTTTTTTTTTTTTTTTTTGGTCTCGAAATTTGAAAATTTGACATTTGGCTACGTTGGAGGGGGGTAAGGTCACCTTTTTAGGTCAGCCATGGGAATTAAAAAAAAAAAAAAAATTAAAAAAAAAAAAAAAAAAAAAAAAAATCCAAAGGGGGGGGGGGGGGGGGGGGGGGGGAGGGGTTAGTGGGGGGATGGGGGGGGGGGGGTTTACACACATAAAAATACCAAAGGGGGTGGTTTAACCACCCCCCCCCCCTGTGTACGCGCCTGGGGGGGGGGGGGGGGGGGGGTTGAGAAAATTCATGGTTGCATCGTACTTGCATGAAGATTTCCATTGAGAATATTCCTTTCCGTTCCCCTTTAACACGTAGTCTTAGTTCATGCTTGTTAATATTTTTTCACAGTTCACAGGCTTACTGGGAAAAAGATTTCATGAATTACATCATTTTTAGCTAAATATAAGGAAATGTTAATTGTAGAATATATACTTCGTCTACATTTCTGCAGGATATGCCAATCTTTTGTTGCAAGCCTATTTTAAAATCGATATTATTTTCCGCTAAAAATAATATATAGAAAACACGTTTCGTTCAACAAAAACTACGACGCTCATGCGAGATTTTACAAATTACAGGAGCTCGAGCTCGAGGGAAACTCGTTATTGCCGATATTTTCACCAAATCTGTTTAGTTAGCTGACATGTAAGTACCGACATTTTATAAAATATATTCAATTTAAGAGTAATTGAAAGTCTTCGGTCTCGAAAATCGTCGGGTTTAAATTTTGAAAGACATGAAAATCTCGCACGTCTACAACCAGTTTTATCTGAAACATTCGTGGTCAAGCATGCCGTGATCTACGGGCAGGGCGCGCCAGAGTAAACCGGTACATTATTGGAGCCAGCAGGAGGCCCCGCCGAAGGACTCTGCCTGCTCCTTCCACTATTGTTGGTTTCTTTGATAAAGATTATGTCAATATGTGAGAGAGTTTGATTGCAACTTTAGACACTTATCATGTTTGTGTATCATATTTCTCTTTTCTCCTCCTTTTCTTCTTATTGGATAACCAAATGATAGGTCTAGATCTAGACCTCTAGACCCCTAGATCTAGTCTAGACTATTCTTATTTTTCAAAAAATAAAAAAAATATTGACTGATTACTTCAGTGGCAAATATTGTACATGTATGTCACTACATTGTATGTGTTTATGTGTGAGAGTTTCTCGAAAAGAGGAGAACCATCATAAGTCTATTTAAATTTTGTAGACATCCCATAGATATGCGTGTATATTTTATAACACATGTTTCAAAGACAATGGGATGTCCAAGAACTTGAAGAACTTACATGTAGTTATGGCGGTTTTGAACTTTTGACTCTCCAGAAATTACCCCCTGATGCACGAGTGATGTGCATATTTATGCTTAATTATAACATTTCATTATTTGAAGATTCTCCTCTCATTTAAAACTTTCTCCCTCATCTTTTTCTGCCTATTTTTGATGTTTTGGTGATGTACACTGTATAGACCTTACTTCAATTTTATAATTCTTGTCTGAGCCTTGAGGTTTCAGTTTTAGTAGCATCTGAAGTTTGGTGGGTTTCTTCTAGAGTTCTACATTGTGTGTTACTTTTTTCCTGGGGGGGGGGGGGGGGGAGGCGGCGGCAGGTATAATTAATATATCTAGACTTCTTGCAAAATTTATTGCCAATAATTGGCTTATGACTTTGCTGCCATAGATTATTGCAAATGCATTCCTGACATCTCTGAAAACAACAATGAAATTGCAATTTCAAGTTTTAATGACAATGAGAATCGTTTCACCAAAACGCAAAATGATAATTAAACAAATTTCACTGTGAATAGAGATAATATCAATATCAAATGGCAATAATGAGAATATTTCTGAATATTCACATTTGAAATGATGCACATGGAAATGATCAAATGAAAGAAGTTGTAAACATTTCCTGTCAAAGTTTGAATGTAGCCCTGACTGCCAGGACAGTCAAACCTGTCTATGAAGGCCACCCAAGGCAAACACAAAAAAATTACCACTGTAGATAAGTGGCATTTATAAAGAGGTGGTCGCTGAGACAGGTTTGACTTTGACTGTATATTAAAAATAGAGATACATGTACAGTACACTAGTTTGGCTGTATCAATTTTACTTGTGTTGAAGAAGTAAGAATATCCGCTTTGGCTTGTTTTAATACCACACAGATTTATTTCCAAGCCCAAAGACAGCCCTAGGAAGCCGACACACAATGCAGAATGGGGGATCTCGCCGAGTGGGGAGAGCTCTTGTGCAGGTTTGCAGGAGATTTTCAAGCAAACCTGGTGTAACGTCACAGACACGTCCGTTCCAAGTAGGATTGAAACCAGTAAGTGGAAATTCATTTTATTTATTAAGTTGTTGACTTTTTATTCCCATATAAATGTAGATTTTTAATTCAGAAGCCTCCAAGGTCTCTTGGGCAATTGGTTTTAATAGCAATATACATGTAGGTATATAACATAAACATTTAAATAATAGAATTTCCATCAGAAACATAACATTTGTATGATAGAATGCCAATTAGCAGCATCATTTTGAAAAACCCAATGCCTGAGCTTGTGGGCAAGGAATCTCTTTTTCCTGAAATTTAAATGAAGTGTTACAAATACTACTGATGATGATGATGATGATGATTGGATTTGTATAGGCCTATTTTCAGAGGGTACAAGACGCTATCCCTTTAATAGTCAATCATTAAATTATTAGAAGAATTGTAGAGGTACATGTACTGTATGTTTCCGATGTATTTTGAAGAAGTCAAGTAAAGTACTACGGTATTTCTTAGGCTTGGGGATACGGATTGAAACGATTTGAGGCCAGCCTGCTTTTTGGGATTTGGGAATGGTAAGGGAAGTGGTAAGGGAATGTAGATTGAAGTGAATCTGGGGCCCGTTTCACAAAGCCTTTTTTTCAATGATAAATGACAAAAATCAGTGACAAATCTGCTGATAACCAATCAGAAGCAAGGATTTCAGTATAACAAAAACTGTCATTTGTCACTGATGACAAGTTTTGTGAAGAGTGAGGAGATGTGTATTGAGGAAGAGTGGTTGATATAGCTTTAAAAGTTTGTACAGGTATCCAGTATTGAATTCTATTAGTAATTGGAAGCCAGCGTAGTTCATTTAACGATGGGGTAGCAGCACAGGATCATTTTGGTTTGTGACAGGATAGTCGAGCACACTTTTCTGGAGACGTTTGATAAATATAATGCAAGCAATTGAAAGTACAGTGTATGTACAATGTAGAGTGAAACATCACTGTTGTGTATGGAAATGTAGAATAAAATCCTTGTCCCTGATTAAAGTAATTTGGTTATTGAATTACTGTACATGTTACATTTCAAAATAGAGTGAGAAAAGGAGGTAATCCTATTATAAATTGTTGCCAGAAATGCCCGTGGGTTGGTTAGACCAGCAAAAAATATACATGTACATGTACATGTACATGAAACGGTACATTGAATGGCAAAACATGCAAGCTGCATTTATACACCGCAATAAAAAATCTTTCATTTTTCTCACATTCGGGCATTCTGTCGGAAGTTGCTTTTAAACAACTACCAGTAAACATGGCGAAATCAGAAATCCAACCCTAGAGTGTGGTTTTGAGAAATGCTGGCAGAAATTTCACTCATTTAAGCGCTCTCGAAAAATTGGTGAATGATTGTGGTTTTTGGTCACGTGACTCTCTTCGCTTCAGTGAGATCTCTTGCAGAGCAGCGAAAAATCACGCATGCGCACTACTCGACCAAAAATCGGAAATGAGCAAACACCAACGTTTTGTTAAAGGGACTTGGTAACTTTTTTCAGATGAGAGAAAGTAGTGCTATTAAAGGTAGTGACTTCAATGCTAGATGTACAATTAAAGATAATCTGAACATTTGAGTGAATTTAGTGAAAACGGACCATTATTAAAGATATAAATTGAGAAAAAGTTCGAAAAACTGATCTGAAGTCTGAACGATTCCTTAATTCTCCCAACTATATTATTACAATTTAATTACATTTAAGGTCAATTTGAATCGTCACAAAGCAATGAATTGGCCCCATATACCATTCCGGAAATTTAAGTGTTGACAGATTTTTTATAGGCTGTTTTATGTCTTTTTTTTTCATGGAAAACGGTTAGGAAAATTCAAAAATGGTTGGGAGAATTTACTGTTAATCACTGTTGGAGGGTATAAGTACAGTAGAAGAAGTATAAAAAGTAACATTTCTTACAAAAATTATGCAATTTTTTTATTCAACTTTCAACAATGTTACTGAGTCACTTTAATGGCTTTTACAGTACCAGTAGTGTACAATGTAAATGGTGTTTTGGCTGTATAAATGTGCCTTGTGTGCGAAACTGCACATACATGTAGGAGTAACTGTACTTGTAATAGTACCACATGATTTTTTTTTGTCTTGTGGGTTCCACTAATCTCAAGCATGAATGCTTATGGCTACAGTGTACACCGTATATCCCTTTTTGGAACTTTAAACAATTTAGTACAGTATACATGTACATCTCTCTTTTCTCTGTGATCTACTGGATTTTCTCACATATACAGTGTATTGATATCAAAGTGAATTTGTAGATTATATTAGTGAGGTCGACATTCTGTTAACTTTAAGTTTAGGTCGTGATCTTTTAACTTCAAAATTATTATTTTTGTAGCTACACCCTGTACATGTAGGGACTGTGCGAATGCACTGATGGTTACAAAATTTCAAGTTGACTCTAACTTACAAACATGACGGATCATATTAAGGTTAGCTTGATAAAGTACGAGCAGCAGGAATGTATAATGCAAACACAAGTACTGTAACTTGTATATTTTTGTTTGTTTTTTGTACTGTTTTTTTAAAATCTTGTTTCTCTTTTTCCTGTATTTGTGTGTTTTAGGGGTAGGCTAATAAGGAATCCCCTCTTTCTGCCTACCGGTATCCCAAATGCTCTCATAAATTGCCATTGTTATTTGTTAACACTACCGGTATCTTGTTTTTTTTTATCATTCCATTGTATGTTTTGAATGTTTTTGTGAAAGAGTGTTGAATAAACTTTGAATTGAATTGAATAACATGTGAGGTTATGTCAGCTTGTAGTCAAAATAAATGCAAAAAAGGTTTTGCAAACTTTAAGTTTAAAAGTACTTCAGACCTACATGTATAATGTGAACAAAGCTAAAATGTTAGTCTTCTAAATGCTTCGTTATTGAAAACACCACACGATTTACCTCTTGTAATTGAGTATAATAATGTTACAATTGAAATGCAGAATAAATAATGTATTGTAATTCCAATTCAAATTCAGTTTCAAAATTCTTCAGTTACCGGTATAATTCATTTTTTCTATTACATATTTGCTTGGCATATCTTTGAAGTCTTCTTCATTAAGTTGTACGTATTCAGGATTGTTGTACAATGTCACTCATAACCCGGATACAAGACTTCCGTTATGAGATTTTATTTATTACAGGGGTACCCCTTCCTTTAGTGACTTTATGCTGGTACAGAGTTATTAATGCATAAAGTAGAGGGTCCATGTACTGGTAGTCTTGCTCCTATCCAAGCACAGCTAATACATCATGTAACAATCACTTGTGGTATTCATGTAGTTTTTTTAGAGAGTACTTGATGTGTACGTGCATGTAGTCTTTTTATCAGTGTACTAGTAGAGGATTTACATGGAGAGGGTCATCTAACTTTAATATTTGCTGAAACGCTGAGAAAGATTCCTTTTACAAGTATTAAAGCAGTACCGGATGCGGAATATGTTTTTCAGAAAGGTAGGTTGTACAGGTCAGATTCGGCGAGTTGGCTCAGTCGGTCAAGTGCCTGTTGAACCAAAGATTGTGGGTTCAAATCCAGCCCAGGTGGATGGCTGAAGGTTGCGTGCCTGTGGCGTGCCTCTTCCCATGTTCATAGATGCAGGCATGTCACAGTGGAAAAAACTCCATCCTTCAGGTACTGTACATGAAATGGAGTCCCGGTGTGGGAGAGAGTTGCCACCTTTGTTTACCCATTGTACGCTTTGTAAAAGTATCATGATCAGTTTTACCTTAGGACTAATAGGAGAGACCCAAGGGTCATAGTAGGATTGTCATAGTGATTAAAGGCCCACTACACTACTTGTAGCTACTTGCGCCCTCTATATAACAAACCATGCCTAATCGGTGACCATTGGTCCCCCATGATCCTCTTTTTCTTATGTTAACTGAGAGCTGAGTTGATGAGATAACCACCTGTCCAGTGACCTTGCAGGGCAGTCTAATCCCTCCTGTAAACTATGGCAGATACGCTTTAAAGTTTTCTCCTCTCAGGTCCAGGTTATGCCAAATCATTAATATGTTGAAGGTCCAGGTGTTACCAAATCATCTACATGTACTAAGGATGAGAAGGATATTTTTTTTCTTCATATTCTTTTAGACATTGTTTTTTTGAGACGATTACCAATTGCAGCCCTTAAGGATTTTTGTGGTTTCATCTCACATTTATGTACATGTAATAGTTTGTCTGATCCATTCGCTAGTTTGCTAAAATCACATAACATTCACACGTGTATACATGTATATTAGTTGTATGGTCGGTGATGTATCGGGCCAAATATCTTTTAAATTTACTTTTTTTTTCCAGATTCCAGATTCTAAAATGATTTATGTCCCTCTAATAATCAGATAAAAGAGAGAGAGAGAGCGCGTGCAAGAGAGAGACAGAGAGAGAGGGCGAGAGAGAGAGACACAGAGAGAGGGCAAGAGAGAGAGAGAGAGAGAGAGAGAGAGAGAGAGAAAGAGAAAGAGAGAGAGAGAGATAGAGAGAGAGATAGAAGAAAAATGGGAGAAAATCAAACAAATAAAAATGCCAAAGAGACAAAACATCTATGTGCTACAAATTATTTTGTACCAAACATATATTTTTCAAAGCACATGTATAGAAATGTATGGAGTGTAGCTTGTGTTTCAACAGATCATTTAAATTCATAGGACCTTGAATCTGGGGTAGGAAAAGCTGAACTTAAACAATCATGTGTGGATCACGATGGACCGTTTCCTCTGGAATAATATAGATCCCTGGTAAAAAATACCGTCTGTGGACAAAACAGGAAGATGTTTAATGGGTCTCGCACACATGGGTATTGTTGATGATGTAAATATCAAAATCTGTTGAACATGTGTACCCGATACATTTAGACAAGGGACCTGTCATTTTCATTTTTACCACCTATTCTCATTTTTACTCCCAAATGTCCAAGTACCCAGATTTTACAATTTTCTCTTTTCTTTCCTTCAAGTTCAAATTAAATTTTATTTAATTCCAATAAAAGCATAGCACAGATGCAGTCATTCAAATCATTATTCATGGAATTTAGGGTACCATAAGACCAAGAATGTCTTGTCAAGATAGTCCCCTTTCTTTCCTCATTCCTTTACATATATGTTTTGGTAAATTTCGTATGTAATTTGTTTTTGCTCTTCTCCCTCAAATCTCATATATTCAATCCACGACGCTGCAAACCGTACGTCACGCTGCACATTAATTACATTAAAAATTAATTAAAGAGTTGGTCAGAACTAAAACTTTCCACAAATGAACTACCGGTAGCCCATAATAGCCACAGACTCATACCAAAAGATAGACATGTAAATAATTTCATCTGTTGTTATTTCTTGTTTAAAGTCTCTAAATGTCCCGTACGTCACAATCCAAATAGCTTGGACCTGCCCTGTAATAGAATTAATGCTTGACCTTAGCATACTGATGAGGTTACCCTGGGTAGATAAGGTAGTATTGTTGTTATTGTTGCTATTATTGTTTTTGTTGTTTAATTTTTGTTGTTGTTATGGTGGTTGTTGTTGTTTTTCTTCTTCATCATCATCATATTTTTCTTCTTCGTGTTCATCTTCTTCTTTTTCTTCTTTTTCTTCTTTTTCTTTTTCTTCTTTCTCTTTCTTCCCTCTTCCTTCCTCAACTTGTTATCACTATCATTATAAAATTATTTTGGATAATTGTTGTTGATGCTATTGTTGTCTTGTTGATGTTAAATTTGTTGTTATTTTGATTGTTAGTATTATTATTATTATTATAATTGTTGTTGCTGTTGTTATTATTATTATTATCAACAGGCCAACTTACAACATTATTTATCATGTCATTATTACTAGTATCACTAGTACAGTGTAGTAGGAGCAGTAGTACTGTTGTTACTATTATCATTTTTATTTTCTGATCATTATAATCATCATCATCATCATTATAATCACTGATTATCAATTATTGTTTGGTATCATTTCCAGCCACTCGCTGTACTCGTGACCTGTATGGATGGCCGTCTCCTTCCATCCCGCATCTTCAAGGCGGAGCGCGGCGAACTACTCATCATCCGTAACCCTGGCAACTTTGTACCTCACTCGTGTAAATGCGAGCCTTCCGAGGGGTCTGAAGCCCCCGCCTTCCCCAGTGGCGAGCTGGCCGGACTTCAACTGGCCATCCAGAAAATGGCCATTCCTGACGTGATCGTGTGTGGCCATACGGACTGCAGGGTAAGTCTTGGCAACACACCCGTTAAAAAGGAGGCGTGGCCGTGATGGCTCAGTGGTCTCGTCACATGAGCTTCTGGGTTTGAAACCAAGTTGATGCCATATTGCCCTTTAGTGAGGCTTTAAACCTTGTTACTAGGTTCGTTGTGGAAGACTAAAAGCTGTCAGTCCCTTCGTTGCTTACATTGTACTTACAATGTACAACCATAAACATGCTTTCTAATTTCTAAGCAGTCGGGTAAAATGATTCCTCAAATCTTTAAAAGTGTCTGTTGCCCCTAAACCCTAGTAGCTCTGCAAATCGCTATTACTTCATTGTTAATCCATATGTTGGGATATGTGAGATGGCTTTGGAAATCATGGTGCGTACTAGTTTATATCTCGTGCTATTTTCACAACAAAAAAGAGTATTTGCTGGAAGGTTATATTACACATTCTCTGGCAACAATTGGTGATAGTACATGTAGAGGTTGCAGTATAAGGGAAGATGTTAGTGATAACATTCACAGTAGGACAATAAGAACATGTACCAGAATTATCCTAGTTTTCAGAGTGTATTTTTGTTAAATCCAACAAATGTATGACACATTCTCTGTGAAAATTGTTCAATGATAATTGTTCTCCCTGAAAATACTCAATACTAATCTAATTCCCATCATCATCCTAGACCTAACACTACCAGGTATATCTAACCCTTACTATCACCCTAACCCCAACCTTACCAAAAACGTTATTGCAATCCTAACCATAACATATGTGTAAACAGCAAAAGGAAGCGTGTAGCAATAGTGATACAGGGTGGGTCAAAAATAAAAAACTCCTCTTGATCTTGTTAGATAATGACTTAATACATGTTCATCTATATGTATTTGAGACACACAATTGCTCTGAACGCCTCTTTATAACCTCACCACAGGCAGGAGAGGCGCTGCGGCACCTCCCCGTCTCCAGGCCCACGGGTCAGACCGGCTCCGGCTCCCAGCACTCCATGGACCTCATGAACAATTGGCTCCGGGCGTACGGCTCCCCGGCCCTGGAGAAGTATGAGAGGCACATGGAGAACCCGGCCGAGGAGGTGACGTACGAGGGAGGAGGGAGGAAAGGAGCCAAGCTGTCGGCGGTCATAGAGGATAACGGCAAGCTGAGCAAGACGGACAGATTAGCACAGGTGTGTAGTGTTCTCTCACTTAACCCTCCATATCCTGTGCGAGCAATCTCCCTGTGCCACATCAGATTTATCGAGGGATGTTTGTACCAAGGGATTCAAGATTATTCAAATGTTGCCAGTGTAAGATTATTCTATACAGGGACCTACAAACTACTCGCAGGAACATATCAAAGAAATTATTAAAGGTAAAGACCAGTATTGGAAATGCCCCAATTTCAAAAAATGAAATGGAAGCTCTCATTACCAATCAGGTGAAAGAATATGTTTTGACTAATACATGATGATAACAAATTTGCCGGGAAACCGCCTACTAATTCATATATTTGGTAAATTTGTTTCTCTCATGGTCTGTGAGAGATATAGGGTAGTCCCATACACATCTTTCTGTGTATAGTGCTTGTAACTTTACGAAGAATGGGCCAAATTTCTTATCATTTTGATGATTCCAGAACCTTGCAGATGCTAGATGCTAGATGATCAACCTTTTCTGATCGATTCCACAACGTTTCTTTCACAATGCAATCGCATGACCATAACTGGTCTTTACCTTTAATACCTGGGCCCCGTCTTACAAAAAGTTGCGATTGATCCAAATCAATAGCAAGTCCTCCAATCAATCGCAAGTTTGTAGTCCCCTATCTCTGTGGGATTGATATCGATTGCAAATAAGTTGCGATTGATATCAACTCTTAAAGACAGGGCTCAGATCTTCATTTTCAACACCTAAGTTGAGAACTGTAGCATTGCACCACCCATGTGCTTTACTGTAGGTCATTTCCATGATATGAGTCATACCGTTTCTTTATCTCCTTCCGTACTTCCTGCAGATTAATGTCCTACAGCAGCTTGAGCATCTCCAGTCTTACGACTTCATCGGTAAGAGAATGGAGACGGACCAGATCCGGCTCCACGCGACCTTCTACGACACCTTCTCGGGCAACGTGTATGTATTCAACCAGAAGCAGGGCCGCTTTAACTTTCTTCCCACGGCCGACATCGACAGCCTGTCGCACTATATATTCCAGCTCCGGAGCAGTTAACAATCGCTTCTTCCAGGAATGAGTACATTTCATTAGGGGTAGGTTAGCTAATAATGAAAATTCAATTTTAGTATATATGTGTACTATAAGATATAGTATTTATCGTATTAAAAAATACTATTTTCGATTTATTGTCTGTTTAGAACGGAAGGTCATTACAGGGTTGCAGGTATTTTAGAGAGTGAAAGTTTGGTCATTAATATTATTATCATTATTATTGTTATTATTATTATTATCATTATAACAGGCTTGGAAAGGCTGGTATACCTAAGGTAATACAAGGTCATGAAACAACACATTTTTTATCTGCAGCCCCTTGTGTACACTAAATGCATATAAAGTTCTAGTAACTTTTAAAGTGTCAGGTAATGCCAGTTTTAAATATAAATGTGTTCATGTGTGTGTTGTAAATATGGAGTAAATATAGTATTTTTTTGCCTACAAGAATCCATGTGATTCCTTTATTATACTTCATATTCAATGGTGTACGATTTGTACAGATTCAAATCAAAGTAATGTTGAGGTATAGAAAATAACTCTTTTTATTGGGACATCAATGTACTTTCACAAAGAGTTACTGCCTGTCTGACTCTTTCTGACTCTCTTCAGAGGTTTGGAACACTATAAGGATGGTAAAATGTCTTGTTTTGAATTTTGGCAAAGTGTATTGAAGGAACAGTTTACATTTGAATGTGTGTGTCTTTGAAAAATTGTTTGCTGTTTTCGTACAATATATTTGGATCCATGCCATTGCATTGAACTTGTAACTTTCTTCCAGCTCAAAAAGGTCTGTTCAGACACGACATAGAATATTGCAACATAAAACGTGCTACATGACATTGTATGTGTTAGTGTAAATAAATGTTGAGATGGGATTTTATGGGGTAAAAAAGAAAGCTGTGCAGAACAGTGGCACTAACAGTTGTGCACTCGCAATTTAGAATTGATTTTTGACATTTGACCCCTTTGCAATGCACATTCATCATGAATGTACAGTATTTTGGGAGTTACAGCTTATGAGATAATTAATTCCATGTTTCATGTTTACTTTGACAATGAGCTATATACCTACATTAATGATTAAGTTCAAACTTCAAACGTTATGTACATTTCCCTGTTCTTTGTATAGGAATATTTTGTTGTTGTAAATTTTAGTTCAAACATCCGGCATGGCAATTACAAACTGTAAATATTTGGATAGGCTTTGCCCCCCCCCCCCCTCCTGTGGCTGTGTTTGGCAATTAAAGATATACACTCTGGTGGCGATGGTACATGTAGATTGCTAAAAGGCAACAAATCGCTGCTACTGTATGTCCCACATCCTTCAAATCAGTTGTAGTTAGAACTTCAAATCATGTTTCTTCCTACGGGTAACTAGTCTTGCTCCTGAAGTTTTGACGATTTGTAGTCTTTGAATTTTGGTGAGGTGGTATTCCATACCCTCTGTTATGCTGCATTTGTTCATACTAACCCTGTAAGTTGGGGCTCTGATCGGATCGGAAGATCGGAGCGACACCCTCGCACCTTTGATCGGTATCGGATCGGAAGATCGACAAAAAAAATCGGCTGATTTTTTTTTTTAATGATGAAAATTTTCAAGTTTTTGGCTATCAAATGCTTAAAAGAAATTCATGGCTTGGATTATTTTGTCATTTATAGTTTATGCGATTGGATCTTTGATTATAATGTAGGTATGCATTATAATCCAAGATGGCGGCCCGCATGTTTTGCCTCTGCTCTTAGACCAATATTATTAATTTCAAAAAGTCATGAAAAGGCACTAAATATTAACAAACATGGTCTACAACAACTCCAAATGACAAAATAATCCCAGCCATGAATTTTTTTGAGCATTTGATAGCCAAAAACTTGAAAATTTTTGCCATTAAAAAAAAAAAAAAAATCTGCCGATTTTTTCCCGATCATTTTCATTGATCGGCGATCGGAAATTATTATCCGATCACCCCTGATCGGATCGGTATCGGCGGCCGATCCGATGATCGTTTACAGGGTTAGTTCATATATCATGTTTAGGAGTTTGTGAAAAAGCTTAATCCTTCCGTAAATTAGAATTGCAATTAAACATGCAAACTTTAGCGACATCTATAAATTGATGTACAAGCCACATGGAATTCTACCCTGTAACATGCCATTTAAAGTCACATAGTAGTCAGTATCCATGTGTATTGCATCATATTTGCTGACACTGGATTCGGATGAAGGATGAAGTACTATTTGATGTGCTTGTGTGTGCAAAGGTCTCTGAAGAGATGACCCGTTGTCCCACCCCAAAAAATACTCCAACTTGCCTATGTATCAAGGGTGAGGGAAATTTGATATATATTTATGATGAGAATTCCATATATGGTGATAGGCTAGGGCACAGTGCATTGTACATAAGACCAGTCTGTTATAAAGTCGAAGCCCACTCTTGGTGATTGGCAACACCTGTTTTGGGTAAACACCAGAATGGTGTCAAATTTCCCATGAAAACCCAGCACTATGCCTCTTTTAAAGTGATACATGTTGAAATTTATTTAGATGACAGAAACAAAAGACATACATGTACATACTGCAATTATATATATGTGGAAGCACATAAGTAATACAGGTTCTTTTCCAATTTCCCCCCAAATGTATGTTATTACAGGGTATTATGAAAGAAAGATTACATTTGATTTTGCTCAAATAGGTTGCTTAATATCCAATACATGTACTGATTATATGAACTTTTATACAATTTAGAGAGGAATTATTCATGTCTGTATTATTACCTGTACTCTTTGTGCATTTCATACCTCAAATACTACATGATTACTTTTCCAGACTTTCTTCGACCATATTTATGCCCAAATTGGTGAAATTAGTATATATTTTTATATTTGCATGTCATGTATCACATGACAGATAGTGCAGAGAATGTTAGGATTGTGCTTAACCATGTATGATGAACAACTTGTATGTTCAAACCTTAGGCTAATAATAGGCTTGGTGAGAAACGTATTATTCCTGCTGTGGCATAGGTGTTAACATGGAGATTGCGATCAAATTTAATACAGATTGTAGAGAGCTCTTGCGCTATTGCTTTTTGCATAGGTATTGCATGAAGTGAATACGTGTATTACCAGTAATTGTTTTTCATGAAAATTTTAGAGCATTTGTGCACTGATGTTCAAAGCGTAAGCTGGGAATCAAATTTAATCAAATGTCTGAGTGCTGTTGTACCTTGGGGGAATCAAGAGTGTGGATTGAAGTCAAATCTCTGTGACTAGTTTTTTGCCAACCCAGTGGCATAGCTATAGAGGGGGGGGGGGGGGGGGGCTTAAAGGGCATTCGCCCTCCCCTTCCCCTGTCGAGCAGTGGAAAGAAAATGAAAATAAATAAAATAGAGGGAAAGAAGAGAGGAAGTGTTTCAGGGTGAAGGAGAAAAATACAAGTGAAGAAGGTGTCTGCTGGTACTACATGTACATTAAGCACCCTCCCTTTAATTCACAATTGATTGTAAGTTTGTGTTTCATTTTCCTGTTCAGACAAGTGTCCCCCCCCCCCCAATTGTTCTAATACTTTCTCTGTGGGTGGACTCAGGTTATGCCACTATGCCTAGTTTGTCTACCTATCCAGAAGGGTGAAAAGCACAGATTGCTCATTAAATATTGAAGCAAATGAGTTTTCAAGGGCTTTAATGGACCATGTACATCATGATTACCGGTAACTTACCATATAATTCAGTCAAATTGGACTGTTTTTTTCTCAAGGGCCATGTGAATTTCATGTGAGGATAATTTTTTTTCTCATTTTTCTTGTTTTTGCCCACACTGTCCTGTGTCTTTTTCTCAGAAGACTGATAATACTATCTTTAAAACCCCTTGTTCTAGAACGGCCCTAGCTCAAAAGTACCAGTCCAATATGTCACAGTGCTTCCTAAAAGTTATCGTATTGCAGGGCTCTATTAAAACCGCTCCACATTTTTATTTTCAGTGGGGGTCCAAACTGAAATCTTTAGATCTATGTGCATTTATCCATGTGTAGAAATGAAATTTTAGGGTCTGACCCTAGAGTTTGGGCACCCGTGTGTTCTGGGCTGTTGTTAGTGTCGAGCTCTGCATACAGTCCTGTAAGGTCTACATGTTTTCCGTCGTTGTGTACATTCCAACTTTATCACATCAGGAAAGGCACTGTATCTAGTCTAAATAGTATTTATGCCTACTGTACTATTTTTTAAAACTTTAAAAAATCCATTAAAAAACATGTCATCATATCTGGCACGTTTATATTTTCATACAGGGAACAACTGTGAGACCATATTGAAGTGTGTTCAAAGTTGTATGTTCTTTAGGCTATACTAGAACTGAAGTAACCTTTAACTCTTTATACATGTAGACTAAAATAGTTATTAATCTTAATGGCACTTGGAGGAATAGCTCTATGGGATAGTGGTAATTTGAAAGTTTACAATTGATTTCTCTTTACACTGTCAGCACCAGGGAGGTATTAATTAATTACAGACTTAAATGTTGGTGTATATTAATGATATTTTTGTGAGGCGACAAAAGAGGTGTGTGCAGTGTAGGTATATACTTATAGTTTTGTTCATTTTATTGTTCGATTGGTTGAAGCTTGGAAAAAAAGAGACAGGTGTGAATTGTGCTAATATGTAAAGCAAAGTACTCTTTATGCAGGTTGTTTCATCTGCATGGAACCAGGAGGGGGGGGGGGGGGTGGGTTTCAAAAAGACTAAGATCAACTTTAAGTTGGAGTTGAACTATGGCAGGCTGTTCATGCCACTTTTTGCTCTCACCATTTACTGGCATTGAACTTTTATCATTTAAAACAGAGTTAACGTCCTTCTGGCTCCAAAGAGGTAATGTATGTGTGGATATACTGCCTTTCTTCTTTCCACTACAACATAGGGACTACTAATCCAGTCAGTATAGAAAATGAGATCGTCCTGTAGTGTTGTATCCTCTGTGTTTACTTTTTTATGTGGGTAACTAGACCTGCTTAATGTGGTGGCTTCATCATCATTCATTCATCATATTTTTTTGGGAAACTTAATGTCTATTTCCCTAACAGATGCTGCAGCATTATTATGGCTGAAGTTTTTTATAATCTGCTCAAAGTTACGTCCAATGTGATATTACATGCAATGTAAATTTTAAGTGTTTCTCATACTTATAAACCTACTAAAGTTTGTGAAGTTGTTCAAATTTTAAAATATTTTTTGGTAGGAATTGGAAGTCCATATTTCGATTTTGAATCTGATTGTTGTAGATGTTGATTCTGCTGTGAAAGTGTGATGGTGAAATATGTAATTCGTCGCTGTTTTCACGAAGTGACGGTAGTGAAAACAAATTGCATTCACTTTGCGTTACGATTTTCCTCACTACCGTCACTTCGTGAAAACAAGGACGAATTGTGTCATATCCACTGTGAAATTAAGCAATACAATATTCTTATCAGGTGATGATGCACGCAGGTGCAAGTGATTAAACAGAGATAATTTTGACCAGTCGCCATTGTTTATTCGCACAAATTATCATTGGATATATTAATGTCACTTGAATAATAAATTGTGGTCAATTATGATATTGTACCTGTTGGTTTTTCATGATTGATGTTTTGTGTGTATTATTTTTATCCGACTTTGATTGATGAAATTGGTGATGTGGGAAATTGACTGACTGATTTTTAGATTGTATTAGTGGATTTTAAAATCTTTTTGTTGTTGTGGAATGACAGATGGAATGACAGAGGATTCTGATTGAGAAAATTTGCTCATCTGAACTACCTAGAGGTAGATACATAGTGAGAGAGAGAGAGAGGGAGGGAGGGAGAGAGGAGTGAGTGAGAGAGAGAAAGGGGTGAGAGAGAGAGAGAGAGAGAGAGGGAGATAGGGAGAGAATTAAGAGGGAGAGAGAAAGAGGGATTTAAAAAAGGGGTGGGGTGTTCAACAAAGGCTGAATGAAACTTTTAACATCTGAATAAAACCTCATGATTATTAAATGATATTATTCTAAACAAATTCATTACAAAAGAGAGAAACATAACATTTAAAAAATAAGGAAAAAATTAATTAATCATAATAGAAGTCATGTTTACAATAGGAAATGCCAATCATATGCTTCCGACAGTAACATTTGGCCTTCTTTATCGAAACATGTATTAACTTTTCATTATTTTTATTTATTATTTCATATTTTACCATGGTGACCCTTTCAACAACATGTAGGCTTTCATGGGGCCCTGAAAATACATAAAAACTATACCATCAAAGCAGCATAAATACAGCAATGAATAAAATATTACACATTGTACACATAAATTCGATAAAATTGTAAATGACTTGAAACATAAATACCCAGTAGATAATTAAATGGAACTGTATGAATACAACATAGCCTGTGCTGAAACAGCAATTATTCATACACAAATAATCTTGTTTGATGATCGAGCTGATATCAAAGTCAAACGCACTAGGAACTTTGAATTTTGGTGTCGCGATCTCCTCGATCATTATTTATCCAAACTTGACTAGCAGAAGAAGCTACAATATGACGAGCTGATAACTGAAATTAAGTGTCACATCAGGATAGGTCAAATCTTATCTAAACAGTTTATACATGTAGTTCAAAACTATGTGGCGTCTAAAATTTGGCCCGCCTTCCGCCCATACACTTTGGTGGTATTTATGAAGCTAGCTTTGTGGAACTCCAGGAGCATGTCGAGGGATGTAAAGCCTATAGTTTACCCCCTTGCCTATATAGGTACATTTTGTTGTCGTTACATTATTGAAGTGTGTAGATGCTTAACACAAAAAAAGAAATGAGCGCGAAGCACATTTTTCAACCCCGACTGAGAGAGCAGAGAACGTTTGTTGACATAAGGGAAATTCCCTACGTCACGTCATTACGTAATAATCGTCGTCAGATCATCAACGCATCGCGCGTACGTAACCGGTCTAGATTGCTGTTCGAATCCAAAGTCGCGAATTCAGCAATAAAACAAGAACTTAATCTTTTGGAACAGGGTCAATATCAATGACAGAATCCTGTTCTTGATGTTGCCAACATTTACAGCGGTTAGATTTGAACTTTGAAGTAAAGAAGGTAAAGTTTGGTTGAACATTGCATTGGAACGGCCCTTTCTGCATTCGAGGACACCGTTTTGGATGGATGTGCTCGCATTGTGCTTCGGCCTGCTTGGCCTGCTCCTTGCCGCTGGGTTGTTGCTGCTCGTCTTCATCATGTTCAAGATTCCAAAACTTCCGGCAGAAATCGACAGCAGAAGAGCAACTCAAAAATTCCTGATACAGACTGGACTTTTTGCATTGCTTGTAAGTACTCGCCCAAGCTTAGCCAAGTTAGAGTAAATAACGTTAGATTTTGATTACTAGATCTAAATAAAAACTAATTTTAAAGTAAAATACTTAAAAAGTTGAAAACTGGTAGGCCTAAACTAAAGATAGACCCCTAGATCTACAACTATTTTAGAAGATTTTGTTTTGTGAATTTAACATCACATAGCCTATGACTTTGTTATGTCATGATCCTGTGTTTGACTTCTAAGTAATTAGGGCATGGTTTTTGTCTTGCCTGACGTGTAGCAAAAAGCGAGACATAGGCGCTGCTTTTCCGGTAACGGCGGCTGTGCTGCGTCAACATAAAAAAAAAACTTAACCAAGGTTAAGTTTTTTAATTGTTAATATAATTTTGAAAGTATAAGTTCCTATTCAATGAAACTTGGACTAAAGGGTTATCAGGTACCCAATCATGTGAGGAGAATTTCAGGTCACAAAGTCTAAGTCAAAGGTCATTCCAGGTCAACAAATTTAGACTATGTTGTGGCATCATCAAAATCTTAGACATCTAGTGAAGCCAGAACTTTCAGAACTAGTTTCAGCAGAATATATCCTCAACTGAGATGGACTGATTTTCTTGTCTAGTCTAGGTTGCTGGTTTCATATAAAGTGAAATTTTTCTATGAGAATATTAATTTCATTGGCATTTTGTATTTTTCAGTTTGTTATTTCAGTGTATTTTTATTGCTTTTCCCCTTTTTGCTTGAAATATATTTCATAACGCACAGATGAAGATCAAAGGAATGTGGAACGGGAAACCCTACCTCGTCAATGCTAGAGAATCTGCAAACTTCTGGATGAAACCTAAGCCTTCGGTCGTGACTGGGTCAAAGGTCAAATCAAGTGTCAGAGACTTTGACGGGGTCGCAGTGCGGTTCTATGAACCCATCTCGAGAGAAAGGAATGATCTACCAGGGCTCATCTTCATGCATGGTGGAGGGTTCATGTTTGGAAGCGCAGGTAAGGTCTTATTTTATTGTTTCCTAATTAATTTAATCACTTTTCCCTCCTCAAATTAGCAACAGTTAATCTTAATTTTTCACTCTGTGTTGTTAGGTAGGCCATAATATTTGTCCTACCTAGCAACAATTAATGTATGCAATTCACATTCTGACTATTGAAATACAATTATTTGTAACAAGTGAATGAAATAATGTGTAACATTTGCATTATGTTTAATTACATTACGAAAATACAAAATTCGAAATAGTTTTTTTTTTACACATAACACTTGAAGATGTTTAAAGATATTTTTACGCATACATGCATTGTTTAGCAGAGGTACATGTATGTCTAACACCACATAATGCTTTGCAGGGGTACAATGAGTAAGCAAGCTTTGTGACTAGTAAAAGAAAAAATGTGGACACTCATTTAAAAGAAAAAAATACTCCAAACGTTTTGAAGAAAACTTAATTCCACATGATTTAGATAACGGAGACTTCCATTTGAAAACTTCTTTCATGTTTCTTTGTCGTTCAAAAATTGTTATGATTTTGGTCGAACATGATGCAGATTAGCTCATTTCCCTTTTATCTGTATGCAGGTATGTACGACCCAATCACAAGGAAAATAGCTGAAGTCATTGGAGGTGTAGTCGTATCTGTTGAGTAAGTTATCTAGATCTCTGTTTGACTGGTGTTGCCCTTTGACCCCAATCAAAGTACATTGACCCCAGAAAAGTTTGTTTTAAAGGTAGCCCGAGTTAAAGTAAACAAATATTGACTGCTTTGGGGGGTGATTAAAATTATTGGCCAAGGTGACCTTGAAATTGTATTGTAGGCCTATAATGCATTCTCGAGATAATCGAGGAGCTGTAACAGTTTCAACAGTGACCTGAAAAGGAAGCAGTTACTTTTTTTGTTATATGTACCTCATCCCAATTGTCAATTGATTCTCAGAAGGAGAATCATTTGTATAACAAGTTGTGTAATAAAAGGGATGAACTTAAAGAATAATAAAAAGAGTGTGAATTTAGTAGTCTTGATATTCATTTGCGAGTAAAATATGTACACATGTACATGTACAATGCAATTATAGAATGTATTCTACATGCAATACATGCATGGCTTTGGTGTCTCTTGAGTTAAAAGTCTTGTCAAATTTAGCATTTATTTTAATATTCTGTTTCAGTTATCGCCTAGCCCCCGAGCATCCGTTTCCAGCTGGCTTTGATGATTGTCTGGCAGCCACTAAGCACTTCTTCAAGCATTGTAAAGAGTATGGGGTGGACCCAACACGAGTTGCTATATGTGGGGACAGTGCAGGAGGAAACTTGGCTGCCGGTGTGGTCCAGGAACTATGTGATAAGACCAACGCGGCCAAGGGAATGTTTAGACCAAAGCTGCAGGTATTGTTTCTTAAAGGGAAAGTCGAGTTCTCGGAATGGAAAAAAATTAGGAGTACACTTTAACGCCACATGTTCGTGTTACATGGGCCCCTAAACTCCCTGAATTAATGCAAGGCCTCCAAATTTCAAACATGTAAACAGGGGCCTATGCATGCAAAACCCTTAAAATTTCAATACAGAAACTTGGTAAAGAAAATTTAGTGTAGACAATAGGTAAATATAAGTTAATCCTCCCATTTCTTTTTCCAACATCTTTTGAAGATACATGTATCTTGAACTGTTTTGTGCTTTAGTCACCCTTTGGTTTCTTCCTGTCCATTTTTTTTTCTTCTACAGATCCTGCTATACCCACTTCTGCAGATGCTGGACCTCAAGACACCTTCTTACCAGAGACACGACGCAGCCTTCGGGATTTCCGGAGGATTCATGCCGACAACCTCCATCAGCTGGATGACACCGCGCTACCTGACAGGCCAGAAAGATGGCAGCCTCACCAAGGCTCTTCTGAAGGGCGCCCTACACTCCTACGCTGCGCAGGAGAAAGACGTCTTGAAGGACGCACTGACTCACGACTGCGTTCCGGCCAAGCTGAAATGCGAAGCCTACGCCATCCCGTTGGTGAGCGAACATGATCCTTCCTTCAAGGAAGTCTGGGAGCGGTTCAAACCCTTGGTGCTGGACAACAAGATCATGCCTCTGTACAAGGAAGATCTTGGTAGACTCCCACCAGCCTATATCTTGACATGCGACTTTGACGTGCTAAGAGACGATGGGGTGATGTACGCGGAGAGGCTGAAACAGGCTGGGGTGGAGGCTGTGCTGGAGAATTGCAAAGGAGCGCTACACGGGTTGCTGTTCTTTCCTCAGTTTAAGTGGGGCCAGATCGCCAAGAAGAAATTCTATGCCTACCTCAGTGAAGTGCTATGATCTACTTGTAGTATGTGTGCATTTGTATAGTTTCAACCAAAGATGATTAGGATTCTATGGCTTATATGCAGCTATCCATAGCAACTTCCAATATTCAACTACCGGTACGTGTACTTATAGCAATCGCCCTTATGCAGCTAATCATAGCATGGTTGAATGTTCATATTAAATGATGTTGCAAATTCTTTCAAGATCTGATCGTAGTCAGATCGTAAAGTGTGTGGTGGGCTTCTATAGATATCAAGCATTCTTTGTCACTCATCTTACATTCAAATTTTCTTGTACAGCATATACATGTACTAGAGCATGTGGTATGCTTGGCAGCCTGTCTCACAAAATGAAATATATATATATCCACCAACAGTGATTTCATAATAATAATAACAATAATATCTCATATATGTGCTTAATGTGTATCATATTTTCAGGGAGATGGTTAAGGCACTCCAGCGATTAAAGCATAGGAGAGAGTCATTGCTAATGCCTATTGACCTCTAGCGCTGTACTACGTGCTAAGAGGCAGCAACTGCACACATGAATAGTCAATACACACATTGCACACAAATGCACACAATGAATACGATGTGCTGATCGGCAAGTTTGACAGTAGACTCAGGATTTGTATTTAAAAATTATTCTTTCTAACATCGGTAAGTTGAAAAAAATTGTATTTTACTGCTAGGTATTTAGGTGCTATCAATTGTCACTAAAGTACCGAAGTTTAGTGAGTTTTGCACAGTGGTGTTTGAAATGTTGAGAATCAATAGAAGAGTTTTTAATTCACAGCCAGGATAGTAATGCCACTATGTGTGGTATGAGGCACTAAAGCATTCAAGGAAGTTCTTCCTACAGGGTACCCATTTACATGTATATCACCTGGGTGAAGAGTGCAAAGTGTAGATGAATGTCTTGCTAAAGTACATTAGTGCCGCAATGGAATTTGAACCATGGATCACATGATCCACAGTCCAGTGACTTATCCACTAGACCCTAACTGTGATGTCATAATTATTTGTGAATATGTATTTAGAAAAAAAAAGATGATTAAATGAAGTCACATATAATTCAATTTTGTTTTTACTTTTTAACCAAAATGATGTTTGTCTTTCCAACACCAAAGAAGATTCTCAAGGAAGAAACCAAATGAAAAGCAACTAAATTATGTTAATCTGACTTTTGGATGGTTTTGTGAGATGCTGTCCCATAGAACATACCTCAGTCTCCAACAATAAATGCAGAATAAACAAAGATATAATATTATCAGAATTCGATTGGCAGGGTACGCTTTATTGTGCAAATATTTGTACATACATGCTTAATCTTTTAAAATAGATATTCATATTGGATATTAAAATATACAATAAAATATATATTTTATTTACATCTTATATACATGTATAAATATGTTTTTATGTAATGTACAGCTTCCATAGAAGCATTATCTGATTACGAAAGACTTTATTCTCCTACTTTTTAATTTGTGTGCCATTTGCTTCGACCAACTTTCTTGATCAAATGTGGTTTAATTATTGGTACATGTATCTATATGTGTTTTTTGTGTGATTCAATTCAACTGAAGTGCAAATCATTCCATAATTAGATATGAATTATCTTTTTCAAGCAAATATAAGTAATGAGATTTCTAATAAATTAAATTTAAAACCTTTGAAATATTTGGTCTTCATAGCTTTTTTTGTTCATGAAAATTAGATTTTTGTTGTCGTTTTGTTCATCCTGTTTGAAGAATTACACACTGGCAAAGTTATGTTGTGTTCTATTTAAACTTAAGGAAGATGTCTATAACTAGCACATATACATAATTATAACATTTTTGGTTCATATAATACTGATCCTTTTGATAAAATGTTTTGATTAGGTAAAAGTTAGATTTTGGTGCAACAATTTCAATGTATTTCATTCTTTTTATCAGGACTCTATCTGAGTGTTCAAAGCTCTTTTAGTCCTTCCTATAGCTAAATCATTTGCTCCTGTGCATTTTATTCACCAACTCATCTTTTGCTACATGACACAGTTTAGTAACTGCACTATACTCTTTGGTCATGGGAGTCCACTTTGAGTTTGCTTGCATAAATGTCACATTTCCTCACTGTAATTCTTGTCCATAAGAGCACTCTTATAGTTTTTAAAAGCTGAATGGCTCACCACTCCGAAGTATATGATTGCTGATGTGATGCCTTGGTAAAACATAGCTTATTCATAACATATTAAAAATAAGAGAAATATGAAAACTTCAACAGACATTGTACTCACTTCTACAGATCTTAAGGCATTGAATCTGTTTACTTTAAGATATTGCTCAGGCAAAGGCTCAAATTGAAAACAATAGTAATTAACATCAATCAAAAGCATTGATATATTATACCGGCCAATACTCTAGAATATCATCTACATGCATGAACGTTACAAAAGCAAAAGCACTCCCCAAACAGTCATTATCCAAGAAACCCATCTACAGATGCTTCTGTTCCGGGTGTAAAAGGAACTAACTCCATTGTTCATGTTAAATGCTGTATTAATATTACTAAGTACATATTAGTATTAAATCTCATCTGTGTGCACTTTATACTTCAGATGCAAAATGACATAACACCCAAAAGGACATACATGTATGTAACACCCAAAACATTCTTGAGGCACATGTAGCTTAAAAAAACAACTGCAAAAGCTTTTCTACAGGGGAAACTCAAAACGAGGATGATGAAACCATGAAAAGTACCTTGTAATATTATTTACTCCAGAAAGTCCTCATCTGAATCGTCGTAGATGATAGAGACTTGGCAAATGTGGCACCGTAAATGTTGTATTTATCATCTTAAGTATCATGCTTCACATGCAAAAGGTTTTAACTCCCAAAACAGCCATAATCATTCTATAAACACCTCATCCAAATCATCATTGAGGATGATGGCACTATAGATGCTGTATTGTTATTATGATCAATATCATCATCAGCATGCACTAACATGCTCCGGATGCAAGGGGACAAAACTCAAGAAACTCCTCATCTGAATCATCATAGAGAAATACTCTCAAGAGCTAGTTTGGGCAATGGTGCAGTATTCCATTTCATCATCTGCATGTACTAACATGAATAGATGCAAAAGGTCATAACTCCCCAAACAGCCCATTTACTCAAGATACTCCTCATCTGAGTCTTCGTAGAGGATGTCTGATAGGGACTGTGTGTTGACCATGAAGAAGTCTCGGCACGCCGGAGAGCAGGAGATGAAGATGAAGGGCACCTGTTTGACCCCATAGGCACGGCGACAGGGTCGGATGAGGCGGATACCTGGCCCGTACAGAGGCCCCCCGCAGCAGTCACAGGTGGTATAGCTGAGGAGGAAATAATCATAATAGAATTCTGTAAGGCATCTTATATTATTCTATTTCATTAATTAATTGTATTTATGATGGGATATTGGGAAACATACCTAACATTTCAGGATTATTTACTGTTTCCAGTGCAAGATCTTTACTGCTATTAAATGGTTTGGCATTGGGTTAAGCAATACCGGGAACAGGTAATTTTGCAACCCCAAGGTGTTGCACATAATTTAAAGTCAGTGACAAAAGGCAATTAACAAACCTACAGACATCATTTAAACAAGACAAATGCAACTGCATTAATGGTGAATCATACCATCATCAAGTTTAAAGGTAAAGACCAGTATTGGCAACGCCCCAATTTCAAAAAATGAAATGGATCGAAGCTCTCATTACCAATCATGTGAAAGAATATGTTTTGACTAATACATGATGATAAAAAATTTGCCGGGAAACTGCCTACTAATTCATATATTTGGTAAATTTATCTCTCTCATGGTCTGGTGAGAGAGATAGGGTAGTCCCATATACATCTTTCTGTGTATAGTGCTTGTAACTTTACAAAGAATGGGCCAAATTTCTTATCATTTTGATGTTTCCAGAACCTTGCAGATGCTAGATGCTAGATGATCAACCTTTTCTGATCGATTCCACAACGTTTCTTTCACAATGCAATCGCATGACCATTACTGGTCTTTACCTTTAAAGTTCTTTTCTCAAGTGTTTCCCAAGATATCGCGATAACAGGAAAGCAGGACCGAAGGACCGACAACCCGAAAACATTCCTCCAGTACCACCTCTGGTGGGCGAAGGCATAACAACACAGCGAGGCTCTTAACCGTATTTAGCCCGGGGGGGGGGGCATTTTTCTTGATAATTTTTTAACGTGAGAAAATCTTGCACTGAAATTTTGTGACTTTTTTCTTTCAAGTCTTGCGCATTTTTTTAAAGAAATTTTTTGAAAATCGGAGCTACCATTACAAAGTCACGTGTCCTTTTTTCTTTGCATGTCAGACCAAAAATCGCTCATTTTTGTGATTTGTGTACAAAACATATGGAAATCTCATTTTTCAAATAAAGAGATAAAACATTGGTTATTTGGTCTTGTTTATAGTTTAGGTGTTTATTTTGGGGTCAAAATAGTTGAATTATAGTTGGAAATGAAATAAAACAACAAAAACAATACAATACATAAGTTAAATAACAGAGAAATACATAAGAAATTATCAAAACAATAGATAACATTAGGAATAACCCTGGTTTTTTTTGTGTTGTATTATTATTCCAAATGGTCTAAAAAACATATGTAGTGAAAAAGAATGCTTAAATATGAATAATGTCTGATTTATGGGCAAAAATGTGAATTTTATGACCTTATTTGCATGAATTACCATAAATATGCAAATGAGTGAATTTTTCAAAAAATTGAAATTACCATAGTATTCTATACACTTCACTTGACATGTATGCAAATTTTTGCGGCAATCGGTCGTTACACGGCCGAGATCATAGGGGGGGGGGGGGGGCTTCTAAAGCCCCCCCCCCCCCCCCTCCTGGGCTGGCTATGCAGTTTCAAAATAGCCCAGGATAAATAGGGTTGTACTTAAGGCTTTTTTTTCTAATGTACATTTAAATTAATATGCTTATATACAGAGAATAGTTATTAAAATATGGATAGGAACCTTACCTGTTTAGGAAGACCGTCAGTGAGTCATGTAGTCCTTCTATACAGTCCAGTCCTTCCTGCTTACACACCAGGGCTGCCATGTCAGATAACCTCTGTCAAGCAAAATAAGATACACACATATCAAATTACATGTATAACCCCATTGTACTGAAATACACAAGATCATGCAAAATATTGTTGTACCTTCACCACACGCAGTATCAATTAAAATGATGTCAAGTATTCTGGAGTCTGTCAAGCAAAGTATAATGCATATGAAGCTATAGCCCTAATCTGATGAAATGCACCAGACAATGCAAAACATTGAAAGGATATCATTTTCATGGATAGTTATAAAATCAGTCAATGTTGAAAAGCTACACACATTGGATGGAAGAAAATAGGTGCTGAATGTTCATTAGTATAAATCGGGAAGATGTACCAATAAATACCTGTAAATACCTTTTCCACTAACACAAAAACTTCAGGAATTTGATTTTATAATTCTAGGTATATTTAATTACTGAAAATATACTTGTAGTATTACCTTTTCCACGAACAAAACAACTGCAGGAGACTTATTTTGTGATTCTAGGTACATTTAATTACTGAGAATATACTGGTACAGACCTGTGGGTTGTTCTGGGAGTTTTCCTTCCACAAGAGAGGGTGCATGAAGTTATTGATGACCCTAAGATAGCGAAGGTCTCTCAGTTTCAGCATCCCGCATGGCAGAGCAGCTAGCTGGTTACCCTCCAGGTTCAGAGCGCGTAATCTCCTGATAAACAACATTAAAATGGCAACAGTTAGTAATGTGGTGCAAAAGCTAAAGCTAAAGCTAACTGTGCAGTTGCTTGGCTCCTTCCCTGTCTTGGGTGGCTAATCCCAACCAAGAATTTTAGCTTAAAAAATAGGGTTGGGACTTGGACTACTACAAAGAATGGCTATATTAGTCATCCTGAAACAGGTAATGGTAAGAAGATATTCTTTACTTAATTTAACAATTAAATAAATCATATTACATCAAATTTTAACTCTTGAAAGTCCAGTTATGACAAATGCACACAAAAAAGTATTGCCAGAAGATAATTCATAGATATGATCTGCATATGACCACATAAAGGCCATATGTACCAAATTGCACGCACGACTCAATGAGAAAACACACACGGCATATGTGCAAAGGTATTCAATCACTATACATTTTATACCAAAGTGCATACCATGATACACACCTGGGGTGTTTCACAAAGACTAAGATCGAGTTTAAGTTGGACTTAACTATGGCAGGCCATTCATGCCACTGTTTGCTCTCACCATTTACTGGCATTACATGGTCTCTCGGCAAAAGACGTACAAATACTGGTAACAAATCTACAGAAATTACATTTTGTTATAATTCATTATTGAAGGAAAAAATATTAGCTAAAGATCATAATGGTGAGAGCAACCAGTGGCATGAATGGCCTGCCATAGTTAAGTTCCACTTAAAGTTGATCTTAGTCTTTGTGAAACACCCCCCTGGAAGTATATATTATGTCTGTTTGGAGCTAGAAGGGCATTTACTCAGGGCGTGTTTATGCTTCACTTTTTCTGGCCAGAATCAGGCCTCTGTTACGCGTTTAGTTTAAAACACGGTTGCGTCCATGCTCACTTTTGTAGAATCACAGAAAAACGGCGATCACGATCGCCGATCGTAAACTCACAAAAAGATGCGTTTACAATTTGTAAACGCGTTTAAATGGGGTCAACGCACTAACCTCTAGTGGGTCTACGTAGCATGCGCACACAGGTTTGCAAATCCAGCTAAAGGCCACCCAAGGAGAATTGCCTGGAGGAGCCAGAGAAGTGAGCATGAACAGTGCACCGTGGAACTGCGATTACGATGAGCGTTTACGATGAGCGTTACAAATCGCTCATTCTGCCTTCAAAAGTTGAGCATAAACACGCTCTCATATACTTGTAACACAAAATTAACGCCCTTCTGGCTCTGAACAGACAACCTACGTTCATTTTCAAGACCGGTACTTACTTGAGATGTCTCATTTCGTTTGGCAAGAAGGATAGCTTGTTGAAGGATAGATCCAAGTACTTGATAGGCAGTGTGAAAAGGCTGGGGTCAAGAGCCAAACAAGGAGAAACAATATAATTTTTAATACAGAGATGCGCTTGTTTGATACAATAAATTTTGAGTCTTCACTGGGAATGTGACACGGTCAAAATCTGTATATAAAAAAATAACAATATATACACTGTAGTAATATTTATATAGTAGTTGATAAAAATGTTTCAAAGTACTGATCTATACAGTGACCACTTGAAGTTTAAGCTTGACAGTCTGATCAATCATCTACATGATCTCTCAGAACATACATTTTTTACCACACCTGGGTATAGAGAGTCACATCACTATGAAATGCCTTCTACATGGATACCAATGTGGGGGTGGGTCTGAAAGGAATCAGGATAGAACCAGTATCTACAGCTTTACAGTAAAAGTAACAAATCTTGTGCCTGGCCTTTACAATCTTTGAACTGATTATCTCATCTGGGTATTGAGAGTCAATTCCCTATAAAATGCTGTATCTACATGGATATCTACATGGGATATAATTCGGTTCAAAAAGTATGGACAGGACAAGCCTCTTAGCTTATGATAAATCTGACAGGGGAGTGTTTCACAAAGACTAAGATCCACTTTAAGTTGGACTTAACTATGGCGGGCTGTTAATGCCACTGTTTGCTCTCACCATTGGTCTCTCATCATTATGATCTTTAGATAATATTTTTCTTTCATTGATGAACTATCAACAAATGTAACTTCTGTAGATTTGTGACCACGATTTGTACATCCCTTGAGAAACTAATGCCAGGAATTTTTAGAAGAACTAGTAGCATGAACAGCCTGCCATAGTTAAGTCCAACTTAACGTCAATCTTAGTCTTTGTGAAAGATACCCTTTATCTTGTACCCGTTCTCTCTCTGTCTGTTCCACACATGGGTAGAGGGAGTCAAGTCACTATTAAATGCCCCATACACACGGATACTTACGTGGGGGGTAAGTCTGAAAGTATACAGAAGGAGAGGACCAGTGTTCTTAGCCTGGTGAGCTGACCGATCTCGTACGGGATCTCTCGGATTGGGTTGTTCCTTAGCTTTAGGATCTGAAGGTTCTCAATCTCAAACACTATCATAGGTATGTTCTGTATTAAAAAGGAAAACATTAAACAAAATAAGAATTGCTAAGCGTATACCTTAAAGATAAAGACCAGTTATGGTCATGCGATTGCATTTTGAAAGAAACGTGAAATCAATCAGAAAAGGTTGATCATCTGGCATAGATGTACTGCAAGGTTCTGAAATCATCAAAATGATAAGAAATCTTCATGAAGTCATAAGCCCTGTACACAGAAAGATGTGGGACTACGCACACGTGCGTGGCACGTGCGTTTTTATCTCTCGCATCCCAATAGATAAACTAATTTACCAAATAATAAATTAGTAGGCGGTTTCCCGAAAAAAAATTTATCATCATGTATTATTCAAAACATATTCTTTCACTTGATTGGTAATAAGAGCTTCCATTTCATTTTTTGAAATTGGGGCGTTTCCAATACTGGTCTTTCCCTTTAAGGACTACTCTCAAACTGACCTCTGTATCTGGCAAAATTATCCATGGCCCGTTGCATAAAACTTACCATTGATGGTAACTTTGCCATCAATGGCAACTACCATGGTAACAGGGCTCAGCAGCCAATCAAAATCAAGGTTTCCATGGTAGTTACCATTGATGACAAAGTTACCATCAATGGTAAGTTTTGTGCAACTGGGCCCATAATCTACATATAACTACTTCATTTCACTAAGGTGTGAATAAGGTGCATTCATGTAGAGGTGTTGGAATTGCAAAATATCAAGAACAAAATAGTTGTGGGAATATGTCTCCATTCATTCCTCAAGACAGTGTGGAAGTGGAAGTGGAAGAGATGCCTACAGGAATTAAGAGCACATAGTTCACCCGATATTAGGGCTATTTGTTTTATTATCTTAAAATCATAATTTTAGCATTGTGTACCTCTCTTGCAAAGAAACCTAACCAAATGTGAATGTATTGTATCAATAACAAAGTAAGAAGAAGTGTAAAGCCAGTCATATTTTGCTCACCTTAAAATCATTGAACGACAAGTTCAAATAGGTCAAGGTTTTCAGAACCGGATTGAGTTGAGGTAATGTCGAAATGAAGTGTGCCTAGGAATAAAACAAAAACAATTTATCTACAAGGATACCAATACATACTGGCTGAAATCAATATTAGATCACAGCCCATGAGACCAACAAGTTTGGTCTTTAAGGCCTTCTAAAAAGATATCCGATCATTCATGAGACCGACATTCTCAAACTCATTGGTGGTCAGTCTAATATTCCTCCAAACAAAATGTAAGTCACAGTGGTAAATGTACTAGTACACGAGTTGCAATCCACAGTTTGACCCTAGTAAGAATGGATTTTACTACAAACCATAATCGTAATGTTGTTTTAAAAACTTTCTACTTCAAAAGTGTATACTTTTATATAATCCTACCAGTTATCAAATTTTGGTTATTATCGGACACATGCTGATGTTATACGAGTTTCATTTTTAAAACCTTTCATTCTGAAGCTGAAAAAATTGAGGAACTATAAAAAATGTTTAACCTAATTCATTGAGTGTGTACATGTATGTACAAAGTAGTTGATTGATATATATAAAAGGATAATTCTGATATAAATTCAGTAGCCATAGAAGTTCTGCAATGCATGTTTTGGTGACAATCACTCCACAGACAAGTTCCCATACTAACCAAATTCTTAACTTTAACCCAAGACCAAACAGTAAACCTAACTCTAACCCTAACCCTAGATATACCCTACATTCCACTTAAAACCCTTGCCTAATCCCAAATCTTAAACAAAATGAAGTCTGGAGCAAATGCGGCTGGAGCAAACCTTGGAGCATTGTCGAACACTGTAGATCTTACCTTCAAACTGAGCGCTAGACCTCCGTTAACGAGACATTCTAGAAGAGCTAGTTCTGAGGGGTTGATCTCAGAATCAGAATCAGGTCCATCTGTACGGTAGATAAAAGCAAAAGCAATTCTTGCTATCTGGTCCATTTTTACTATTCAGCGCATCGGTTTCGATGTCAACTTTCATATTGCATATAATTACCAATCACCTTTACCGTTAGTAGAGCATCAAACATGGCTTTTAAATGGCTAAATTTGTTTGTATAAGATGTGAAGTTGTAAATGTACAAGGGGTGGAATGCAATTTTACAGCAATATCCCAACAATGTCACTTAATGGCTCGAGCTTATAAGTTTGCGTTGTAGAGAAAACAAGATAAAGATATTTCTTTGACAATAAGATTGATAAGGCTACGAGTTGGGAATGTCGCTGAATCAGGAAGACATCTTAAGTAGATGTGAAGCTCCTACCCAACTGCATGAAAACTGATCAAACGACCTACATCGTAGATGAATATACACAATGATATATGTAGCCATGATAAACTTTCTTCATATCATAATGCAGAATTTCCATCATGACATTTTTTGATACCTGATACTTAATCAACAAAATATCCGCTTTACAAAAAATGAAATAAATCATTGAACCTGAAACACTTGGGGTCGAACAAACAAATGAACAATCATTGATTGCCCTTGTCTGCTCATGAGTAAGTGTTGTTTAAATTGCTTTTGGAAAATTAAGATATTTTAAAGACTATAATTGCAGAGTCAAGAATACAAAGATTGAAAGATGATCATAATGAATAGAAAAAAATAATAAATCTGGAGTTACACCTGTATATAGCGCTTAATATGCAATACCGTATTTAAGCCCTTTACAGATACTATAAGCCGATAATGAGTTTCTTCACACACACGGTTTGCACCTTATCCACTCCCTGGAGAGTATTCCTATTATATGGTCACCATGAGGGCATATGGCAATTTCTATAGGGCTTTCGTCATCCTACCAGATCAACATCTCCTGGTAGATTAATGTCTTACCAAAGGACATTAGTTTCTTAGGATGTATAACAAAATTAAATAACAACATGATCAAGCATAGTATTTCATCGCAGTCACACAAAAATATTGAAAACTTACCAAAGGGTTCATTAGATCTCCTAGATCCTTGGAAGTATTTAGAGATTGGTGCACTGAATAATGAATCCTTGTCTCTGGAGATAAGATAAGAATTCAAAATCAAGATAATCAAATAATATAGATGATAATGGCTTCTTATGTACATGTACATGCATACGTCAATAGTGCTCATATATGTCTTGCTGCGATGCTCAAGTTGCTCAGACATTGTTACCCTTTAAAGGTGAGCTGCCAAAGAACATTTAACTCAATACTATCTGCCAAGAGCAAACAGTGGTATTATTCTATGCAATTGCTATTTGGTAATGCCTTTCTTGCTTTTAGCAAACAACATAACTTGCTATAGGGGGTAGTGACTTTCCATCTATGCTCAACGTCCCTGTTAACCGTGACACCTGCTTAAATTTAGGTGTTGTGCAACCAACTCTAGACATTCTTCCTTGAAATAATTTGATGAGAGCCAGAAGGCTATTAATCTGAACAGAGTGCTAATTAATGCTCTTCTCTAGCTCTGAGCCAACAACGTACCTCCTGATTGGGGGCAACGACTTTCCATCCACACTCATCGATCCCGCTGACCCTGGCGACCTCTTGGTCTGCGTGCCGTGCAGCTGACTCTGGACATCTTCCAACATCAACTGTCTCATCTGATCCTCGATGGCACAGGCCATCTCTAGCAGGACCTGGTGCTGAGGGACCCTGTTCTCAAAGGTTGGGATGTCCTCACCTGCAAAGAAAAGTATGGTACGAATACAATTGTAATTTAGTTTGCCCACGGGACCATCATCAGCATTTTTAAAAGGCATCGTTTAACATCGTTAAATCTCAGATGCATGGCCCTACGTGTTATCAGTTTCTGTGATATGGTGAAATATTGAGGCCCTAAAAAAATTGTGCTTCAAAATTATCATGAAGTGCCTCAAAAAAGTAAAAATCTTTGAGCGACCTGTTTTACCATACTCATTCTCCCCAATAGACTGGAGTGTTACAAAAACTGTAAGGAAAACGAAAAATTAAATTTGATTTCTAATCATAAATATCTTGATAATCAGATAGGCAATCGGCTTGTAATAGTCATGGGATTCCTGACTGCCCTTAAGGTTTATATTTATGATTGCAGCATAAACTAAATCCAGGATTTTGTTTCGGAATCTGAGGCAATGTTACCGAGTCACTTTAATCCTGTTTGTCCCGGGGGCCCTGCAATCACTATCATCTCAGCAAATTGCCAGGTACCATTTATCCCCGGGTAGAGAGTAAGTAGCAAATGTAGATGAGTTTCTGTCTTGCCAAAGGTTGTTAGTGCCAGGTGGGTTGCAAACCCTGAACCACTGGATTGAGAGTCAAAAAGCCTTCTGATTTTAATAATGGGAACCTGGTTGAAATATATCTGGAACAAGATTCAATTCCTTACCTTTCAGTTCCAGAGTATTCACACTCACTTGACGCTTTTCTTGAGCGAATGATCCAAAGAGTGTTGTCATTTTCTTAAAGTTTTGTTTTGAGAAGACAATATTCTTGACTCTCTCCTTCGGTAATGCATAGACTCTTGACAGATCATGACAGAAATCGTTGAGAGTGAACTCTGGTATCTCGTAGAACCGTGGGTCATCAACGTCCGCGTAGAGGATCTCTGGGCAAATTTCCGATGGTTGCTTTGGTTGCCGGAGAGGAAAGGGTTCAGGGCCGCGTGGTTTGTATGGTTTGACCAGAGAGTCTGATTCTAGCGTCCTACCCGGTCCGCTTCCTTTGTTCATGTTATACCGGGATTCGATGATGAATCTCCAATCGGGAGCTTCCTCAAGGGACTGGAAAGAGGGACTCTCGTCGGAGCGCAGTACCATTTCCTTGGCGCGTGGGGTGTTCTGCGGTGCATACACATCTTCGATGAGGTCGGAGGCGACCGACTGGGCGTCGCTGGGCAAGGAGGGCACTAGAAGGTGGTGGTGCTCACTGAATTCTTGGCTGAGCTCCAGGTAAGATGGGATACTCTGGCTCTGGAAAGGCAGGAATGAGGATGCTCCAGTCTTGGGTTTCTCTGGAATGGCAGGTTTGGTTGGAATGGGTGGGGCTATTGGCCTTCTCAGCAGAACCTGCACTGGCTTGGGAGAGTTTTTCTGATGATAAGAACACAAATTACATTAATATAATAATAAGAAACATAAAAAATAGACTCTATTGCTCAATCTAATGAAACTCACTGCTAAATATGGGTGGTATTCTGAAAAATGTTAGGGTAGAGTGCCCAGTATTCGGTCACTTAAGGGGAAATCACTAATATTTTGAATTCTTACCTCTTTTATTTGGCAATGTACCCATCAAAAGAAAAGAAATTTATTCCTCTAACAGGATTTTATAGTCACTTAAAATATAGAATAATGATAAGCAAAATACTTCCGAAAGAAGACGGAGCATTTTTCTGCCCAGAATTCGGTCGCGCCGATTAAAATTCGGTCACGCGATTTGTGCGTGGTATCTCCGTTGCCAAAGAGCGAAGCGTATTTGCGCACTATTTTCACACAATTGCGCGATAAAGCACTGAATGTCAATGCGTTGACCGAATATTGGCCGAGCGATACCGCATGGCAAGGGTATCTTATAAATACCTCTAGCACATCGGCAAATGCGTCATTTGCAAATTCACTGCGATGGAGTGAACACGGAAGTGATTCTCTTCACACATATACTAAATTCATTGCGACAGCACACGCAGTTGTTTTGCAATAGACTTCTACATATGGCTATGCATGTTAGCGCATGTGCTAAGAGAACGCAGAAGTGCAGAAAGTCTTGCGACACTGACCAATTTTGAGCTAAGTTGGAGATCTTTCCGGAGCCCTAAATCTGATTTAATTTTGAGAGTTAAGAAAAGTTGTTCAGCTGCTTGATTTGTGCAAGTTTCGTGGCTCGCAAATTATTTTTAAAATTGTTACAGCTGTCGAAACGGCTGTCTGACCGAATACTGGGAATTGACCGAATACTGGGCGTGCTACCCTAGCTATGTTGTTAGCATGCAAGTAGACTATAGCCAACATAATCATGAAGATAAAAATAAAAAAAAGTAACAGAACAGTGTCATAAAAATACGACTAGGTTCTAGTCCCAGATAGTCATACTCACACGCGACTCACATTCAGTCACAGAGAATCAGGTTTGCCTTCAGGCTTCACGCTTCAATCAGACTTCAGAATCAGAGTTCAGAACATTTTTAGAATAATTTTTTAGAATATTTTCCTGATACTATCTACTTTCTAGATAATGATAGAATGACCAATAAATTAACTCCTAGAATTGTTTCTATTTTCAATCGCAAGACAAAAAGAACTTCTACAATAAGAAAAAACAAAAACGGACTCACGCTCTAAAGAAACGCGGCCGCGGTCGGAGTTTGCGCCGCCGCAGGCCCGCCTCAATCGATCTGACATAGACTACATCATGTACTACGTATGGGACTGTACCAACCTACTTTTTGAGCACCCGAAGTGAAAATAAGACGCTTCAACCTTGATAAATAGCAACATTTCCACTTTCAAAACTTACCGTCATGTTAGCTTGTGTTTTAGTTGTCATTATAAAATATAAATATAGTCATATTTGACTTCATATTCCAATAAATGTCATTTCAGCCGTTCGTTTATGCTCGTCTCCGTGGTTACTCGTCGGTTTACGTGAATCTCGCGAAGATCGAGATACATTTTGCTGAAGTAAGCGATGACTTTTCCCCCTAAAAAAAAATTAGGTACCATTTTGTCCACAGAAAGCTTTATAGATCTAAGTCATAAGTGGTGAAAAATGTTTAGGGAAAAAGATTTTTTTTTAGTCAGGAGCGGTTGATTAGTTGTTGGTGGAACTCGGAGAAAGGGCGTGTGGGCTGGTGCCTTACTTCTTTTCATAAATTAAAAAAGTGCCCCTCAGCTTTAAAAATGGCCCCTTTTCCAAGTGAAAACGGCAGAGCTGAGCTATATACCAAAATAGATGTGTAAATAGAGAAAAAGAGTAAGAGGACGTTATTTTGTTTTGTTGTCCCGCAAATTTGAAAATTGACCGATCGATTTTTCGTTCCGTTGGTGGGGGGGGGGGGGGGGGGAGTCACCTTTTTTTGGTCACCCATCAGCACAATTTTTAATTTTTTTTATTAAAAAAACAAAAAACAAATACAAAATTGAGGTAGTTTTTTCTTCTCTAAATCACACACATAACAACAAATTGAGGGGGTTCGACCCCCAATCCCCCCCCTGCGTACGCGCCTGTGTAGAATCATCATAAGAGTTCGTTTTGAAGGGCAGGGGGGTGACGTGGCAGGCACTGAGGTATGCCGCAGATATGACTGGGTTAGATATAGGCCTACACCTCTGAAACCCGGCGTCCAGAAGAAGTTGGGTTTCACCGGCTTTGTAGACTGGCAATTAATGTCTTTATATGTCTGTCTTTATCTTTTTATCATATGTGTATCCATCTATTATGGATGAGACATTTTGAAGTACTATACAAGCTAATTAAATAATAATAATAATAAACAATATTTATAAGGCGCTTAATACTGGTGTCTCTATAAGCGCACCATATTCTGACTTAACAATTATTTACCCCTCAATATAGCCACTAGCCAGGACTCTCTGTTCGGTTTGTTTGTTTGATTTTATTTCTGCATTTTTCAACGTATTACAAAGTGATATACAAACTAGGACACTAGGTAATAATCAATTGAACAATTATAATTAAAATTAAAAATTTATAATTAAAATAGACCATCATTTAGTCTGATGGCGCCCTCAGGATAGAAACCCATGATGCGCGTCTTGGGCGATGACCAAGCTTATTATATGATCAGAAATAAATAAATTATAACAGCCCCCGGTAACAGCCACCGTAATGATTAAGTATTGTTTTGTTAAGGCATGAAATGAAATGCGTTAAAGGTATTCTCTTTAAAAAAATCGAGTGATCACGGACGTCACTCCTCTGGAGAGTGAAAATGTAGTGAAAATAGAGTGAACATTAGGCTCTTTTCTTCTTAGAGAGCACTCTAAAATCAATAGATTTTCACTCCTTAACAAGTGATCACGGACGTCACTCCCAAGAAAGTGAAAATAGAGTGAAAATTCACTCTCTTTTTTTAGAGAGAGAGAGTAGACTATGTTAAATTAATAAAACAAATATGATTCCTGATGTGGATGTAAATTACTGAGTGATTTTCGAAGGGGGCAATGAAAAGAAGAAAAACAACAGACTTAAAATTGTCTGACAATCGAAACAGTAAGATTTTAAAAAATAGTTGTAGGCCGGCCTAGACAGTTTTTCTTTATGGGGAATCACCATAACGACCTGTAAAGACACATTTTCTATATCAGGCGCGGATCCAGGATTTTCCAATAGGGGGGGCCGGAAATTTGAAAATTGCGCAGACCGTTTTTTCAACTCAACATACCAATAGGCCCTATTGACAAGGTCATATTAGAAGCACCATACCGGTACAATTTTTGACATTTTCATGGGGGGGGGGGGGGGGGGGGGGGGGGGGGAGGGGGGGGGGCATAGCCTCTTGCCCGAAAAGTAATTTTCTGGTTTCACAATTCGAAATAGTGAGCGAAGCGACCGAGCAACAATTTGAGCATAATATGTATTTTGTTAAAGTGTTATTTATCACCAAAATAAACTAGAAAAGATATCAAAAACTCATATTCGGGCAGCTTGCTATCCCCTCCCCCCCCCCCCCCCATTACACGCGAAGCGTGGAAGCTTTGACCTTTCTTTAATTGTTAGAGAAAGAAGACGATTTGTTGTACCATTCTTGACTCTTAATCCTTGTCTGAATTCAGTTTCCTCCCGCCCGCGCGAAGCGCGGAAGCTTTGGCCTTTCATTAATATTATTAGAGAAAAAAAGAAGATTTGTTGTACCATTCTCGACTCTTAATCCTTGTTTGAATTCAGTTTTCCCCCGCCCGCGCGTAGCGCGTAAGCTATGACGGTTCATTAAATTATTAGAGGAAGAAGACGAATCGTTGTACCATTCTCGACTCTTAATCCTTGTTTGAATTCAGTTTTCCCCCGCCCGCGCGTAGCGCGTAAGCTATGACGGTTCATTAAATTATTAGAGGAAGAAGACGAATTAATCGTTGTACCATTCTCGACTCTTAATCCTTGTTTGAATTCAGTTTTCGCGCGTAGCGCGTAAGCTATGACGGTTCATTAAATTATTAGAGGAAGAAGACGAATCGTTGTACCATTCTCGACTCTTAATCCTTGTTTTAATTCAGTTTTCCCCCTCCCGCGCGAAGCGCGGAAGCTTTGACGTTTCATTAATTATTAGAGAAAGAAGAAGATTTGTTATACCATTCTCGACTCTTATTACTTGACTGAATTCAGCCCCCCCCCCCGCCTCCTGCGCGAAGCATGGAAACTTTGGCCTTTCATAGTTTAATGAAATTATTAGAGAAAGATGATTCGTTGTTTGTTCCATTTTCGACTCTTAATCCTTCTCTGAATTGAGTCCCCCCCCCTCTGTGACGTTTCATTAAAATATAAGGGAAAGGAGACGATTCTTTGTACTATTCTCGACTCTTAATCCTTGTCTGAATTCAGTTTTTCCCCGCCCGCGCATAGCGCGTAAGCTTTGACGGTTCATAAAATTATTAGGGGAAGAAGACGAATCGTTGTACCATTCTCGTCTTTTAATCCTTGTTTAAATTCAGTTTTCCCCCTCCCTCCCACGCGAAGCACGGAAGCTTCGGCCTTTCATAGTTTAATGAAATTATTAGAGAAAGAAGACGAATCTTTGTACCGTCCTCGACTCCTTATCCTTGTCTGAATTGAGTGCCCCCCCCCCCTCCCGCGCGAAGCGCGGAAGCTTTGTCGTTTCATTAAATTATAAGGGAAAGGAGACAATTCTTTGTACCATTCTCGACTCTTAATCCTTGTCTGAATTCAGTTTTTCCCCGCCCGCGTGTACCGCGTAAGCTTTGACGTTTTATTACAATATTAGAGGAGGAAAACTAATCGTTGTACTATTCTCGTCTCTTAATCCTTGTTTGAATTCAGTTTTCCCCCTCCCGCGGGAAGCGCGGAAGCTTTGACGTTTCATTAATTATTAGAGAAAGAAGAAGATTTGTTATACCATTCTCGACTCTTATTACTTGACTGAATTCAGCCCCCCCCCCCCCCGCCTCCCGCGCGAAGCATGGAAACTTTGGCCTTTCATAGTTTAATGAAATTATTAGAGAAAGATGATTCGTTGTTTGTTCCATTTTCGACTCTTAATCCTTCTCTGAATTGAGTTCCCCCCCCTCTGTGACGTTTCATTAAATTATAAGGGAAAGGAGACGATTCTTTGTACTATTCTCGACTCTTAATCCTTGTCTGAATTCAGTTTTTCCCCGCCCGCGCATAGCGCGTAAGCTTTGACGGTTCATAAAATTATTAGGGGAAGAAGACGAATCGTTGTACCATTCTCGTCTTTTAATCCTTGTTTAAATTCAGTTTTCCCCCTCCCTCCCACGCGAAGCACGGAAGCTTCGGCCTTTCATAGTTTAATGAAATTATTAGAGAAAGAAGACGAATCTTTGTACCGTCCTCGACTCCTTATCCTTGTCTGAATTGAGTGCCCCCCCCTCCCGCGCGAAGCGCGGAAGCTTTGTCGTTTCATTAAATTATAAGGGAAAGGAGACAATTCTTTGTACCATTCTCGACTCTTAATCCTTGTCTGAATTCAGTTTTTCCCCGCCCGCGCGTACCGCGTAAGCTTTGACGTTTTATTACAATATTAGAGGAGGAAAACAATTCTTTGTACCATTCTCGACTCTTAATCCTTGTTTGAATTCAGTTTTCCCCCTCCCGCGCGTACCGCGTAAGCTTTGACGTTTCATTAAATTATTAGAGAAAGAAGATGATTCGTTGTTCCATTCTCGTCTCTTAATCCTTGTTTGAATTCAGTTTTCCCCCGCCCGCGCATAGCGCGTAAACTTCTGACGTTTCATTAAATTATTAGACAAAGAAGCCGATTCGTTTTACCATTCCTTGTCTGATTTCAGTTGCCCCCCCCCCCCCCGACCGAGCGAAACGCGGAAGCTTTTACATTTCATTAAACTATTAGAGAAAGAAGACGATTCGTTGTACCGTTCTGTATTTTCAATATTTTTTTTCTTTGTCTGCTCCTTTTTCGTCCTATGTCCTCTAACTGCCCCTACCGCTCCTGGCTACGCGCCTGCTTTAAAGGGAAAATGAAACAATCATGATTGCATGTGATAGCACACAAAAAATCACGGCCGGGAGCGTCATATCATAGTTTTGTGTAATCGGGCGAGGGCCGGGGCGTAGCGATCAAGCGAGATTTTGCAATGTTGAAATTATGCATTCTAGAAAATTCCGCTGTATTTCTTTTCTAGCTATATTTCTAAATTTCCTGGGGGACATGTCTCCCTATCGGGCCCAGGATTGCCGCCCCTGTCCATGATTACTACCAACATGAGTCAAATACAAGCACAAGCGAGTTGGTATGAGCTGAATCCAAATGAAGGACAAAATAAGAGTTATGAAGCGGCCCTACCGTTAATTTAAAATTTGACTGTTGAGTGTTCCCTCTCTTTGAAAGCACCCCTCTATCTCCGGTGTAAGTCAGTACGGGCCGGATTTTTGTGTATTACGGGCCGGACTTTGTTGCGTGAAAAAAGTAACTCTTTATCGGAATTTTTGGGAACACAAATTCGGTCCCTCCGAGGGAGGGAGGGGGGGGGGGGGGGAGTTGGGCTTTAATTCTTCTTTATCTTTCATTTTCACTTTTCTCTTCTCTTCCCTTTTCTTTTCCCTTCTCCTTTCTTTTCTCTTCTCCTTTTTTTCTTCTCCTCTTCTCCTTTTTTTTCCTCTTCTTTTCTTCCTCTTTTTTTTTTTTTTTTTTTTTTTTTTTGCGCCGCCAATAGGGGGGGGGGGGGGGGGGCCGCGGCCGTTTCGGCCCTCCCCCTGGATCCGCCACTGTATATTACAAATATATCAGAACTCTCATTGAATTTAACATGACTGACAGTTAGGCTAAGATCTACTTTTAAAAATTTGATATATAATAAGATTTTAAATGGTAATGATAAAATATATTTTGGTCGAACTAGGCTATAACTATTTATAACAATAATCGCCTTTTCATTGATAATATGTTATTTTTACCTCTTCGAAAGTTATCGACCAAAAAAAAAAAAAAAAAATAATAATCGCTAACTTTAGCGCGCATCGCGAGAAACGAGACTTTGATTGTCAGAGCACGAGATTTCCAATATTATGAATGTTTGGCGGCAGGCGTTAGATTTTATTGTTGCTTCAGGTAAAATTATGTTTTTAGCTTGTTATATTCGTTTTTAAGCATACTGTGTGAGAATTTCTATTTGCATGTATTTTGAGAATGGTTTAGAATTGGTTGCTTATGCTTCTTTTCCCAACGATATCGTGAATTTGCAAGGTATTTTTAAAAGACAATTTATTTTCAGTGACCACCAACATCTTTATGGGCGTGTGGGACTAGATTGTGTACAAATTGAGTTTGTACATGGGTCGCGCATCGCAGACCTAGCCTTAAATTTACTTAAAATGTTTAAAGGCTAGGTAATATGAAATATGATATTGATATCACACCTAGGCTTGATTGGCACCTATAGTATACCCCTGCTTCAAAATTCCAGAGTGATGTAAAAAAAACTTGTGAGTTTGCTTGCATGTCGGCATGATCATGATGGTGATTAACTTTAGATTTCTAACTTAACTAGTAGACCGAATTTTCCGTCTCTTTCGTTCGTTAATTAAGCCTCTTATTTGGAACGAAAGAGACGGAAAATTTGGTCTTGATGATGATGTGAATGTGAATGTGAATGTCACTGGACGTGACTTAGTTGTGCTTGTGAATGTAAGTTGTTTTGTGGACTCTTCTTTCTAAATTCCTCTATCACAGTAGGGGCGCTGGTCCGAGAATGAGGATCGTCCTCATAAACGCGGACAAAATGCATCCTCATAAACAGGGAACGTCTGCATTTTCGCGGACATTTTTTTTTCATCGGCGCTCTGCGGGTTTCGGGTTACCGAACCGCCCGCTGGCAATGCCACATTTGAATTCCCCAGGGGAAAAAATAACCCTATTTGACCGTCTACTTTTATGGGTTGTCCGTCTTCCCAAGGATTTATTGCTCATAATGTGAAGGTCTCTGTACAAAGTCAATGTAAAATGCATCAAGAAAATCATCCCGGAATCCGTTTTTTGCATCGCCAATGTGCCGATCAAAAATACAGAACATCTGCTTTTTAGCAGACGATCCTTGTTTTTGAGGACGCATTGGTCCGCGTTTACAAAGACGATCTTCGTTTATGAAGATGATCCTTATTCTCGGACCAGCACCCCTACTGTCTATAGTACTAGGTCTAGACTATATAATTATTTCTAGTACTTCTAGACTACTCATCATTCTCATAGACAAAGCAATTTGAAATCAATCAAGAATTTAACCAGAAATTTGAAAATAAAAATTAAGTGAACAATGCTGTAGAATAAACTCCACTCTAGACTCTAGCTGGGCCTACATTGATTGAATAGATTGTAAAATGTTTTAACTAATATTTATATATTAAATATTGTCTAATAGTTAGCATACAAGATCAATATTGCACTAAGATAAACTTTCTTTTTCTTCTTCAGAGGGGACTTTAAACTTGAGTCTTAAGAGAAGTTCCCCAAAGGACAAGGATGAATGTTTCCTAAGCAATTTAGTACATCATCTGAGCAATACAAAATGGCTGCCAGGTCACGTCAAAGCATAACCCCTCAAAAGTCAATGGTGAAATCTCCTTCCAAGAAGGAAAAAGAGAGTGTGAAACGACTGAAAGAGGCTGTCAAATTCTTCACAGATCGTAAGTATACATGGAAAGGGAACCAGTAATATTTGTATTATGTCGCTCATAGGATCTATTACTTTTATAATAATAACATTATTTTACTTCCAGATTCAAAGTTTTTATGAGCATCAGAGAGAATTTCTAATAGTTTTATAAAGCAGTTTTAAAGAGATTACAAAAAGAAAGTCCACAGGAGTAGACGAAAGCTTGCCCACAAAATTGAAGGTTGGTAGAAGCTTTAAAAACTACATTATAATAAAAATCCTTGTTTGTTATAATGGATAGCTAAATTGGTGGAAAAAACGGGTGGTCGTTTGATATCACTGTAATTCCTGAGATTACAAATTTGTACAGGAAAAGTCGGTTTAACTGGCAAATCTCTTTTAATATCTGTCTATCTCATGTTCTCCCCTGACAGCGACAAGTGATACCAAAGTTAGGGCCAACATCAAGCTTAGTAATGCCCTGGATACCATCATACAAGAAGCTCAGAGAAATGGTTTGAGTGAGGCGGTCATTCTAACTCTGGTCGATATAGCAGCATCAGCGAAATTTGGTAAGTGTACGTTAAGAGTGTCCTATAATCAGGGCTTTAAGTTTAACACTACCAACATGGGCCCTTGAACAATGACCCCCTCTCACAAAGACAGTGAAAATATGAACAGGGGCACAGCTCACATAGACCTCCATAATTACTCTTGGTACCCTCTGAAAAGAAATTAAGTGAGGAGCTCTGCTATAACTGTGCTCATATGTGGATGTACTATAGATGGATTATAGATTTTTTTTTCTTCTCTATTTTCTTCTTTTGGTAGATGAGTGTGACGAAAACTAGTTTTCTTAAATTTATTTATTGAGTGCCAAGCAAAAATCAAAAATTTCATTTCATAATGATTTCTTATTTTTTTCAAAGAATTATGGCATTATTCTCAGATTGAAGACATAACAAAAAGTTTTCATGAAGCACCTCCAGCATTTTGGCAGTGATTCTAAAATGCAAAAAGTGGGTTGGCTTCACGTGTACAAGATCTGTACAAACATAACCACGAAATGGTCTATTTGCTTAAAATTGTTAATACTGGCCATTTTGTGTACTTATATTTCCATTTGCAGCTGACTCCACCAATTCTCGTCTCATCAAGCATCTCCTACCAATGGATAGCATCCCGGAGGATGCGGCCGTACAGAGTATATCCTGGATGTGCACCAACAAGCCCTCTCATGAAAAACAGGTAGGATGAGATCTTGAACTTGTGCGTTGAGACCGTGATATTTTGATGTTAAAGTAGTCACCCAAAGAATCAAAAGTGTTTTGAATTGATGCAAAATTCATATCATTGCGAAGGGGAAGCCTTACTGATCAAATATAACCACTTCCCTCTTCAAAATATGTTTGGTGCCCGCAGTAATGATAATCATCTCTCAAAAATGTTAATTTTGAGATCCAGATTTTCTGCCTTCAGATGCTAGACACAGCTAGCCACAACATTGCATTTTACCCCTTTCCATGATATCTATATGATTTTCCAGCAAATTATTCATGTTTTTTCAAGAGAAAATCTTTCCACCCATATATAATTTGTCCATAATTATCAGTTGTTGTTAATTTTCTTTGGGTGCTTACGTTTACATTTAATATTTTATTTTTATTTTTAGCCAGACAGTAATCTACAGCAAACCTGGGATAATTATAGTATACAGCACTTTGTAACCTCAGGAAAAAGTGTTTTACTAAACCAAACTCTTAATGCATTCTAGTTGATTGTGAACCCGTAATCATATCTTTACCTATTTGAAAATATTTTTATGAGAATAACGGTTTATGATGTGATGTTATGGTAGCATGACTGCCTATATATATCTTGATACCTGATTTCAATTTTTCTCCGTGTATTCTCATTTCGTCATCCTATTCTAATCTCTACAGGCATTGCTTCTGAAGTGGATCGTATTGACCTTTGACCTCTTGGATGGAACAGAAAAGCTACATGCCTTGTATGGCATTATCTTCTACTTCATTGAGAATGATACCTTAGTGAGTACATGTCAGTTTGTAGTGAGAATTTTCCATGGGCTAATTCAAGATTTTTAAAAATTTAAAAATTTAATATACCGGTAGTGTGATATCTTTAACCAATCAAGGACAATTGTTTTTGTGGGCTAAATCTGTTCAAATTGGCAGCATATTTTGTTGCTACACTTTTCCAAGAAAAGATAATAATGTCTGGAAAGGAGGAGAAATTGTGGCAGAAGTTACAAAATGATGACAGGGACTTTGAATTTGTTAATACAGTGTATATTGTCAAGTCTATTTTAATTCCTTTTGCCCTGTAACATAAAAAAGATAAGTTAGCAATTGATTGCTATTGTGCAGTTGACCATGATGTGCCATCAACCATACAATCAATTGATATTTAAAGCTTTATGTTATGGGGCACAGGGCTCTGTTTCATGAAACTCGTTATCAATAAAAAAAAAAAAATCTAAATTTCTATGACCAATTTGCTCTCAGCCAATCAGATGCCATGATTTTAGTAGCTTATAACAATTATTGTAAGTTGTTAATGATAACATGTTTTGTGAAACAGGGTGCCGGTGTCATACAGTTCTTTCTGCTTATGCAGATGTATTACCGTGTATAGAACTCTGCATCAAAGTTTATGAACTAATTCCCAAAAATGGAAATGAGGCAGATTCCTACACTATAAAATAAAATAAAAAATGCAATTTTTTGGTTTCCCTTTTCAGTGCCCACATGCCTGCCATCTTCTCTATCTATTGACGAGAAAAGAAGACGTCATCGCTCACAGAGTGAGAAAACTCCTCAGTGTACAGAGGAGAGTGGTAAGTATCCCTTCTTTTGATTATATTGAAAAAGGACATTACCGTAAGTCCTGGTGAGAAATGAAAAATTACAGTCTCAAAAAATATATGCTGAATGAATGATATCTACTGTTTGGAACCAAAAGGACATTATATCTTTGTAAAAGTGGAAGAGTTAATGGCCTTCTAGCTCCTGACAGACGAGATGTAAAGAATGTAAGAAATGAATTAGATGAGAGTAATGATAAGCATACCTATGAATGCAGTGTTTCTCCTTACTACCTCTGCAGAGAATTGAATCCGGGTCCCAGAGAATGTAGAAGATGGAGACTGGTGATAGTATGTCTTCAAGAGGTTGCAGAGGCTGTCAAACAGGATGAGAAGAAGATTTTTCTGAAGGCTACTGTTATTTGGTGAATCATTTTCTTTTGACCCTACTTTTTCTCACTTTTTGTTTCCAGGGTTCACAGCCCCACATCACAGGACTGCTTTCCATCTACAAGGTCTTCGCCCCTCACCTTGTCTCACTGTCCCTGCCGTCAACACAGAGGGCCTACTTCAAGCTGACGGACCGTAACTGGGCGTCCAAGGTGCGCGAGGCGAGAGAGAGGATCCAGGAGGGAAGGCCGGCCAATACGAGCATGCAGAGGGATGCGGCTCATAGAACAATCACAGACGTTGCCATGGTAGGTAGCCATCTTATTTGTCATGGAAACTAAATGTCACAGGGTCAAGGTTAGGGTTGGGGTTAGGGTAAAATAACAGGATGTTCCATACACAAAAGTTCAAACCTGTAAACTTGCAACTTTGGAAGGAGTGTGTACTGAAGTGGCAGTTGGGTTCAGAGAGTTTTGGGGTTCTCTATAAACACTTAAGCGCAGTGCTATGCAAGTATAGGCCCAAGTACAACATAAGCTCACTAACCTCTACATCGCCTACCTTAATATCATTAGATAGTACTGGAAACTATTGCACGCTTTTTCATTCAAAAAACGTGGGATAGTCTCAGAAAATGAATCACACGTGACAGCGTTTGACCTATCATATGATTAGTATCTAGGAGTGAGTTGTATAATATCCAATATGATATCCCAATACTTTTGCTATTATAATACAGACCTTCCTCAAAGATATGCTTTTCCCAAATAATGAGGAAGAATCAACAGACTCTATGTTTCTCAAATTAAACTTTCTTTCAGGTGCAAAAGAGGAGGAAGCTCAACCCTGTACCTGACCTGCGCTCTTCTTACACGACCCTTGACCCCAGGGCAGAGGTCATGACGAAAGTGCCCCTTGAGCAGGTCAAGTCTTTTGAAGAGTTTCTCGACACCTTTGACCACCTGGAGGTAAGCCAAAATAAGTCTTTGTCACCACTAGGCCCCAAAATGCATACATATTTTTTGACGATCATTTAGATCGCCTTCTGATAGTCTTTGATCTTCATCTCCCCATTTCATTATGGTGTTTGTTCTTTTTAAAGGACCTGACTAAACATCCCTTGAAGCAGGGATTTCATAATTTAATTCAAATCTTTGAGTCTGGTATTCTAAACTAACTCGATGACATAATAGGTTCTAGGTTTCGTATAATTTGCCCCCACTTGTTTTCTTAAAACTCGTAATCAATATTAAGTACTATCCTAAAATTGATATTGAGTAACTAGGCACTGTGGCGTGTGCCTGTAATCCAGCTTACTGTGGAAGTTACAAACTGATTCAGCCGAGGGCGCAGGTTCGAAACTGAGTCACGTCTTTCGGATGGTGACGTTTAAAGGTTGGTCCCCAGACGTAAATAATCATATCTGACTGACCCACGTATGTAAAAACACAATACACACACACGCACACAATATTGAGTAATGGCTATAGAAAGATTTAGAATTTAAGTTTGTAAATGTAACTTTAGTTGGGAATAAGTAAAAAACGCTGATTCACATTTGACATGGCAATTATCACCCTTGTTTTTTTCCATCCCACTTGCCATTCACATACACGTAAATAGAAAAAACTGTCACAGTTTTCCACGTCTTTTGTCAATGAATCCCAAGTGTTCAAATGGATGGAACTGAATTTAAATCACATTAAAATGATATGACAAACTTCAAAAACTATTATCATAAACAATGGTGTTCTTGTTCAGTCTACTGTAAAAAAAAAATATTAAAAAAACAACAACATGTTTCATGGCAGTTATAGAAACTTACTTCATACATGTATCTCTGACCTTTGAACTTTGACCCAGCTACCAAGCCAGGCTGCCGCCGTGCTTAGGTCACCTGTCTTACAGTATCTGGTGGCATGTAGGAGGGACCAGGCCACCACGCAGAGACTCAACTTCTGGCTCTCACAGACACTACAAATAGGTATTGAAAATGACTCTAGATCTGATTTTTTAAATATTTTTTTAATCACAAATGTGATAAACAATGTTGCTACAGAGCATGTTTTTAATCAATTAGAAAGGTACTCTCAAATTGTATCAATTTTGTTGTCAATACAACATCAATTTCATAAACTTTTAAAAATGCTGGAAAGCAGTTGGAAAATATATCCCTTCTAGTTTGTATGAAGTAGAAATATGTGGAGGTTTGAATTGGCTGAAATTCATCTTCAGATTCCATGATCCACAAGGTGATATTCAAAGTTCAAGGCAAACTTCAAGAGATAATTGAACTTGAGGTTGTTTTAAGACATAGACAAAAAAATGAAAAATGTGATTGCTTTTGTAATTACCTTTTCCAAATATACCAATATCAACAAATTTGACCTGGTAGTTACAGATGGTTATTGGAAAAATTGTCAATTGCGAGCCAACATGCCTGAGTAGAAAAATAAAATCAGGGTTAATTGGGCTAAAACAGCCTCAATCACCTCATGTTTTATAATTTGGGCCAATTTGAAGAGGGGGGGGGGGGGGGGGGGGAGGGGTGGAGTTTGAATTTAAAAGAACAGATTATTTGACATGGAATTACTCAAAGGTATTAATTTTTGTAATTTAACTTCTTTTTCCACAGAGCTCATGGATTCAGGGAGCTGTAATGGGAGAACAGAGCAACTTCTCCAGCTGCTGATCAACTTTATGGATTTTATTCAGGTATGATTATGATTATGATTATTATTATACCCACCCACACAAAAAAGAGGATATAATATTATTATTATACCCACCCACACAAAAAAGAGGATATAATATTATTATTATACCCACCCACACAAAAAAGAGGATATAATATTCTATATCAAGCGATAGAAGCCAAGAGGGCCCCATTTCACAAATCTTGTCATCAGTGACAAATGACAGTTGTTGTTATAAGCTAGTGAAATCCTTGCCTTTGATTGGTTATCAGCAGATTTGTCACTGATTTTTGTGATTTGTCATTGAAAAAAGGCTTTGTGAAATGGTCCCAGGAGGTTGCAGCACTAGGATGACTGGTAGAACACTGAGCAGCCTCTGATGAGCAAAAGTTATTTGAGCCAAATGTACAATTTGCTTTGAAAGAAAGATGTTTGAAATTGCTACCACTCACTACTGAGTATTAATATGTGAATGTTTTGAGAATTTGCAATACGATTTCGTAAAATGATGTATTTTATTTCTTTATTCTTCAATGTTTAGGAGAGCGTTCCAGTTTGTGAGCAGTTCTTGACGAGGTATCTATTGACATGGAACGGTCACGATTACAGGCCGTACATACTCAAGATGATCAGCAGATTTAGGATATATCAATTCCATGGTAAGGTGCTTTTTTTATTGTAGTAGGAATAAGAAATCAAGTCTCAATAATTTGAGCAAAGAGAAATGAGATAGGAAGGAAAAGGAAACAGGAAGAGGTTGAAAGACGTGTTAAGGAAGACAGTAGAGAAATTGACTTGGAAATATCCACAGACAGGATGAGATGAGGAGCGTTAACGAGGAGACCCGAATTCCATAGAGGGGACCCACAGGATGATGATGACGCTATCTGAATGAGCCTTGATAGTATTTATTTATGTCTAGTTATCTTAATATTTTGATGAAAGAAGATAAATGTGCATTGCTTTTTGTTCAAGCTTTCAATACTTTGGAGTTTCCACTGTTACCTTTTCTCAGAAAGTAGATTGAAAATAATACTTTGGATTTTGAACAAAGCCTTCTTAAATCCATTGTTTTCAATAACTGGATATAGAATGCGAGAATTTATTAGTCAATCTGTTAACGAGATAAAATATTTAACGGTAATGGTATACTGCACCGTCTTTAAAAAACAATTTAAACCTTCCTCATATGCTTGTCCTTCTTTTCTTTGACTTCAGTCCTCAACGACCTGGTCCTGGAACCGCTCCGGGCGCTGTTCTTCAGTTCTTCTGTCTACTTCAAGTGCCAGGTCCTTCACACGCTGACAGAGCTCCTGCGGAACTACGTAACCCACGAGATCAGCCGGTATCATGAGACGGCACAGAGGCAGAAGGTGGAGGAGACAGAGACATTGTTGGAGGACGATGACGACATGGAGGCACGTCCTCTTCATTCAAGGTACATATAAGTTGCAGTCACTTATAAAAGTCAAACTTAACTCTAAGTTGGACTTTAAAATTATGGAGAGCTATTCGTTAAGTCCAACTTGGAGATAAGTTCAACTTAGGATCTTTGTGAAACACCCCCCTGGTCATCAAACTTGGAGATCTTTAACTTTGAGATGGTTGGTTTCGTAACATCAGGATAGGGTAATATTTTTCTGTGTGAAATGATGTAAGTGAAATATCCCACCAAAAAGAACTGGGAGGTCAGAGGAATAATATCTAGACTCTCAGCAGCTGAAAAACGTTTTGCAGTAGCTGGATCAAAGTCTTGGAACAGCATCCCCTTTTCCATAAGGGAAATTACCTGTCTTGCCACCTTCAAAAGATCCCTCAAAATTTACTTTTTCCCCAGTGATCTATGTGATCTACTTCCTGTGAGACTATATTTTTTGTCCTCTTTTCATATATTTGTATTTGTAAGCGCTATGGTACAGCAAATCCCATTAGTTATAATGATTATATTAACTACAACCAAACATCAGCAACAACAACAACAACAGTGACAACAACGATACTGATGACATATCTTTTCTCTCCGTGCAGTTCATCTGTATTCTCTATTCGGGTGGCATACTTTGACCCGATGAACACGGTCAAGAAGCTGGTGGAGTTTGTGGATGGACTGTGCTCCGTCGCTCTTCAGCTTCATCAGCATCATTCCCTTCTCTTGCATCACACGCTCACCTTCTTTGAACTGGTGAGTAATAAGCGTCAATTGATTCAGAAATCTGACATTAGATTCATTGATTACTGGCACTCAGAATCACCCTCACATAACCTCTTGTCTTAATAGAGAAGGTTGAGTTCTGGGAAGAGGTGAAAATTGTATTATGCGTGGTGTGGAAGAACATCAGATTAAAAATGTTTCCTGAAAAGCATGGCTTTTCAAATGCCTTAATATAACATCATAAAAATCAGGATGAATTTTTTATGCCACATGTTTGTGTATATAGTCCCATATACATCTCTTTGTGTATAGTGCTTGTAACTTTACCAAGACCACTAAGTGTTTAAAAAAAAAGAAACTAGTTTTCAAAAAATATATTTTGAATGTGTAATTCCAAATATATATTTAACCTTGAAAACTTTGCCAGTATGCCTGCGCACTTCGGTACTCGATAGTCTTTGATTGTAAAATAATCCTAGCTCCATCATTTTTTCTATTCACAGGTGGCGTCTCTCTACACGAAGCATGGTATTGTCTTTTCGCAGATGCCGGCGAAGATAAACTGCTACCGGGCCATGTTTGGTATAGATCCCACGGCGTGCTCTAGGATGTGCCAGATCATCTGCAAGTAGGTTCCTTAACATGTCATGAATTTATTAAGTTTGCTCTTCAGGCTTGCTAATGAAACTGCACAGTTCCATGTATATTTGGTATTGATCCCATGGCCTACATTAGCATACGTTTGATTACCTGCCCCTGTGGTGAAGATCGGTAGAAAGAATTAGGTTGGTTTGAATAAAGAGGATGCTCAAGACAAGAAGAAGTGGAGGGAGGGAAGCAAGTAACCCTTCGTAATAGGGAAAATGCTGACGTTGACGATGTGTTCCAAACTTTCGCTAGTCTACTTCTCAGATTTGTTCTGCTTTCCTCTAGAGGAGTTTGCTATCAGGTTTATAAAAACCAAGTGCAACCCTAAGTTAACCCTATATCTTTGATAAAATGAAGCCCATAGCAAATATTGCCAGAGCAAGTGTATGGTCACCCATTAATATCCATAGGTATAATCTAATCGGAAAAGGAAACATGTTCTCCTTTGATAATTTTTCTTAATTGAGGTGTTTCAAATGGTTATTTGTACCAACCTGGCTATGGTGAAAATGGAATTGTTTGATTTGAAAAAGAATGGGTTTTGAAAAATAGAAAGTTTTTCATCAATAGCTTCTGTGACTCGCTGATCTGATTAGTGATGTAAATCACACATCTAATTGGTAAAGTAAATTCACAATCAGTAGAAAAATCGCCTGTTTTGGTATTAGCTTTCACAAAACAATTGCTTACCGAAACAGGCAACTTTTAAAGAAAAAAACATCTTTCAAGCTTTCGTAGACGACATTCAGTTAACAGTTAAAGCCTGTCTGCACCAGGTTGGCCAGGGGGGATTAGAGCTCCCTGCATGGACACTGACAGGCGGTTATCTCATTAAATCAGCTCTCAGTTAACATAAGAAAAAGGGGATCATGGGAGACCAACAGGCACCGATAAGGCATTTTTGCTATATAGAGGGCACAAGTAGCTATAAGTAGTGCGGTGGGGCTTTAAATGGTAGGACAAAGAAACATTGATTTCTTATTTTGTTTCTTATTGTTTCTCCTTGCAGTTACAAGGCAGAGTTCACCGCACTGCATGCTGACAATGACATCCACAAACAATGGGTAAGCTACATGTATGAAAGCTAGATCCTCCCATGTTCACGTCACTTACCATTTCCATACACTTATAGCCCGTCTGTACTAGTTTGGCCAGGGGGATTAGACCTCCCTGCAAGGTCACTGACAGGTATATCTCATCAAATCAGCTCTCAATTAACATAAGAAAAATGGGACCATGGGGAACCAATGGTCACCGATTAGGCATTGTTTGCTATATAGAGAGCAGTGGGGCTTAGGATGGTGTTGTGGCCCAGGGGATAAGTCTCTAGACTGAACCATAATTTAGCACTAACTTCCATTGGTAAGACATTATCTGCATTTCCCACACTCGGCCCAGACAAGGTAAATGGGTACCTGCTAGGAATTTATTCTGTAAAATGCGTGAGCGCTGTAATGACAGCCATGCTTAAGCATGGGGTTGATCATAATGGAGACCAGGAGTGTCGATGTGCCAGACATGAGCGCTATTCAAGGACCCACTATTATCAATATTATTATTGTTATAATTACGTTTATCTTGCCATGACGGTCTTTTAAGGCGTTTTCAATGTTATGTGTAAACGAGACCCTTTCCATTTGTTTACCACTGACATGTGTCTCCTGAAAACATTCCACCACAGGAGGAGATGAAGAAAGGCATCATCGTCCTGAACAGCATCATCCTGACGCTCTGTAACTGCCTGTGGCGGACCAGGGCCTTTGATACCACCATGGATCACGGGGTTTCCCTGGAGTACATGGAAGCCACCAAGATACCCAACCCCAACAAGATATTCTCCATGCAGGGCAGTCTGGCTACGGTCTGCTTCTGCAAGAAATTCTTCGTAGAGGTAATTCTGATGATGAAATGGTCATGGTAGTGGTAGTGGTAGTGGTGGTTAATAGTGGTGGTTGTGGTGGAAATGGTGATCCGAACCCCAACAAGATATTCTCCATGCAGGGCGGTCTGGCTACGGTCTGCTTCTGCAAGAAATTCTTCGTAGAGGTAATTCTGATGATGAAATGGTCATGGTAGTGGTAGTGGTAGTGGTGGTTAATAGTGGTGGTTGTGGTGGAAATGGTGATCCCAACCCCAACAAGATATTCTCCATGCAGGGCGGTCTGGCTTCGGTCTGCTTCTGCAAGAAATTCTTTGAAGAGGTAATTCTGATGAAGTGGTAGTGGTGGTTGTGGTGGTGGAAATGGTAACCACGTTGATGGAGTGGCAATAGTAGTGTTAGTGTTGCTGTTGCAAGTATTGGCAGTAGTATTAGTAATAGTAATGGTAATGGTATTGGTTGTTCTAGTGGTAGCAGTAGTGGTGGTGATTGTGGTGGCGGTGGCTGTGTAGTTAGTGATAGTGGCAGTGGATGGGGTGGTAGTGGTGATGTTGGTGGTGGTAGTGGTGTAGTAGTCTTAGAAGTAGCAGTAACAGTAGTATTCAGGAGACAGAGCATGCTTAAAATATATCTTGGACCCGTTTCACTAAGCCTTTTTCAATGACAAATTACAAAAATCAGTGACAATCTGCTGATAACCAATCAGAAGCAAGGATTTCAGGAGCTTATAACAAAAACTGTCATTTGTCACTGATGACAAGTTCTGTGAAGTGCCTCCTGGTCTTTTACCTGATCCCTTTCTCTAAAAATATGGTTTTCATTGTCTCTTTTTGACTCACTTTACAGACTCAACCAGCAAGTAAGTGGGTAGAGCCCCAGATGATTAAGAGCGTTCACAAACCTGTCTACATGGAATTCCTACAGAGGGAGAGGATGGATGGGATCGTCAACTTCATCCAAACGTTTATACGACGGACAGGAGCGAGTCAGACCACAGATACTAGTAAACTTGAACAGACAAGCACCCAAAATTGAAGATATGTGAACAACTTCATCCAAACGTTTATACGACGGACAGGAATGAGTCAGACCACGGACAGTAAACTTGAACAGACAAGCACTCAAAGTTGAGCATATGTGAACAACTTCATCCAAACGTTTATACGACGGACAGGAGCAAGTCAGACCATGGACAGTAAACTTGAACAGACAAGCACTCAAAGTTGAGCATATGTGAACAACTTCATCCAAACGTTTATACGACGGACAGGAGCGAGTCAGACCACGGACAGTAAACTTAAACAGACAAGCACTAAAAGTTAAGGATATGTGAACACACACTTTGGAGAGGTGGGACATGGCCACCTGTATCGAAGAACTGTATCGTGGATTAATAATGAACATTATACATTTGGTCATGAAATAAAAATGAGGTGGTAATTTCATAGTGTCAATTTTGATTTTATTTTATTTATTTATTTACTTACTTGCAGAATCATGGTAAGATGTTGATATTTGGACTTAACCTACATACTAGGAGTCAAGGACAAGGTTTAAAACTGGCCTTAACTTAGGTGGCCTTCCAAGCATTCCCCCCCACCCCCTGTTTTCTGTATTTCCAAGTTGATATTATTTACAGTAAAAAAAATGCTTTCATAGTCGTGGTCTCATAGTAATAAAACGTGAAACAGTAATATTTCTGAGAAGCTAAATTTAGTTCATGAAGGATCACCTTCACGCTTTATGTAGTTAGGTGACACATAGATTTATAGTGTTAAAAAAAGGTGACATGAACAAAATAGATTACCTTAATTTTCAAATTTGGGGAATAAGCCAAGTAACATAGAATACGGCACCTAAGAGTTTGTTCTGGAATGCTTGCATTTTCAAGCATTCACAAATTTATTGATGACTTTTTATTTCATACATTCTTTCATTTGGTTCTCATGCTGATTTACTCAATCGTGAATATGTCAGGGGTAATATTGGTTTCAGAAACTAACAGATAATGCTATATTCACCTAGATGCAGTATTAGACAAATTAGAAAAGATGCATTAGAAAACTAAAAACAAAAGAAGACCATGTACATAACTCTAGAAGCTAATTTTATAATTAAAGTATGTACAGTATTTGGTCGTATACCTCCTTGCCATATTGCACCACAAGAAATAAAAAATTTCACCAAACTCAGAACGTTGACCAATGTCATGTAAAAACTTTTAAAACAAACTAAGTTAGTAAATAATAATTCCGTATTCCATAAATTTACTTTTGATGAAAGACTGCAAAAAAATTCTTTTGAATCATTTGATATTGTTTTAATGAAACTGTACATGTATATACTAAATATTTTAGTGCACTTCCAGATTTTAACAGATGTATTTTATCAATTTTGGAACAAGCAAAATTTGCATAAATATCCGATCTTGAGCATAATGGTGGTAAACAAGACTATTGTTTATACATCATGTTCTATGAGCAATAGTATATCTGATTATGAGCAATAGTATATCTGATTATGAGCAATATGACCAGGGGGGTGTTTCACAAAGATCCTAAGTCGAACTTAACTCTAAGTTGGTCTTAACATTATGGAGAGCCATTTGTAGCCTGAAAATAAAATATATTCAAAAGCAAAAATTCAAGTATTTTAGACTTTTCATAAATTCCACATCAAGAACATGAAATCTCCTTGATATTATAGTAATAGGAAATCTCAATGATTCAAACCAACATTTTTTGCCTTTCGGCTTTCCATAATTGTTAAGTCCAACTTAGAGATAAGTTCAACTTAGGATCTTTGTGAAACACCCCCTAGGGCCCCGTCTTATAAACAGTTGTGATTAATCGCTACTTATTTTGCTATTGATATCGATCGCAACTATGTAAATAAGAGATAGGAGACTGTAAAATTATGATTGATTGGAGGACTTGCAATTGATTCGGATCAATCTAAACTCTTTATAAGACAGGGTCTAGATGAGGGTTGTGCATGCTGGAGCTTCCTCATTAACGCTTGTTTGGTTTTTAATTGCTTATGATTTTTATATTGACATTTACTTTAAATCAAAGTGTTGCTATAGTGCCTTCGCTAGCCTGTATATTAGCCCATATATTAGCTTGTATCTTGTACATAATATGATATCTACATATTTGTAAACTTAATTTATATACATGTATGTTTTGTTTTCATGTTTTCCCATTCTTTGTATATTTAATTGTGAATATGTATGCATCAATGTAAATAAATATGTTCATTATGCTTTATAAACAAATGGATATTTGTTCCCTTTCTTTGTGTTATCTATTTTACAACTATGAATTGCATAAATTTTGCTTCTTGTAGGCTACTTTTAAGTAAAGAGGATTTTTTTCTCTTTATATATTCAAAGCCACCCGCAGAGGTAGAAAGAATCCTCTATATTTTTATTTTTTAATCAATATTTTTTCCTTTTCTGTTTTGCAAACTGTGCATTCCCTTCAAACTAGGGAGAGATTTATTTCATGGCAAAAAAAAAAAGAAGACAAGGAAAGAAAATATGAGAACACAAACTATAAGCAAATGAAAACATAAGTTAAGTAAAAAGGAAAACAAACAAAAATATTAGCAAATAAAGCCGATATGTTTCTCTATAGAATTTGTAACGCCCATGTTGATCTCAATAATTTCTGCCTCTTTTTTTTTTCAATTAATAAATTTGTCTTTAGCTTGCGGTTAGGCCTATGACCAATAAGCAATACTACCGTATGATATACACAAATATTGATTTGAGATGCTGAGTTTGAGTTTTAAAAAAATAACAACAACAACAAACTATGTAGATCTATATACAACAATATACATGTATGTTGACTTTAATAATAATTTTCCCGATTGTATTTCTTTTCGTTTTGACACCAGCTCCGTCTTATATCTTATTCCTTTTTAATTTGTCTCCTGACCCTCACACTACCGGTATTTGTTTACAATAAGCCAAAACAAAAGACTGGAGATTTGCCAAATTTCACGAATCAGCGATCAAATTAAGCCAAAAAGCACTATATTTGGTTTCTCTGAGGTAAGAACAATTTCATTTTTCATGAAAACCATTTTTAGACACATAATAAAACATATGAAGTCGTATTTTGATACAACAAATCTCTTTCCGCAGGGTAGCTAGAGAATCACAAATCATAGTCCCATTCGCGTGTGATTGTGTCGTGTGTCGGGATGAAGATTTCTGAGAGCTAGAGTCGGTCAGTCCGTCCCTCAGTGACTATGACTCAGCTCTGAGACTGTCTGACCTTGACTTCGTGAGTTCTTCCGTTGAATAGAGTCCTCTTTGTAGAGTAAAGTCATACTTGATTGTTGAGGCCACAATCACGAGAACACATGACATGATTGAGCTGAGTGCAGCTAATCTGCTAATGAAAAAGAACTTTTGTTATTGAATATTGTGATTGATTGGAATTCCTGTAAGTCTAACCCTGGTTTATATGTGGTTAGCTCATGTGGTACGTATAGATCTTACGTAACAAGATGTTATAGATCTAGATCTACTTACTTAAAAAGTTTAATTATAGATTCTTCTGAACACAGGCTAATTTTCAGTTTTAAAGTCCGATTGTTAGAGTAAAGGAGGTTTTTTTGGCCACTTAAGACGGGGGAGGGAGGGAGGGAGGGAGGGAGGGAGGGAGGGAGGGAGGGGGAGGGTGAGGCCGGAGGAGGAGGAGGAAAAGGAAAAAAAAAAAGAAGGCTGAAGGAAAAGTATAACTATGAGGCATGGGGGGGGGGGGGGGTGGGGTAGTCTGAAAGACATTCTGGGTATCGTCTGCTGCAATACATGTAGCAGTCGTGGGAGTAGTCCTGAAACTATTGAAGAAGGCTGATATGATTGTTTAGGGAAATTGTAATCATGTATTAGCTAGTTTATTCTCCTTTCTTGGTAATTAGATAACCGCTAGAGCACCCCATGCATAATGACCAACGTGTATGACGTTGCCAAGTGGCCCATATTTGCTCTACTCGCCGACGATCTCGTGGTGAGTGGCGTCAAGCTCGCCTGCGTCTTTGGGAGCGCAGGTAACGAAGCTATCTACGTCACCAAGGATGATGAAGTCTTTGCCTTTGGGAACAACCACAACGCGTGCCTCGGTCTTGGGGACGTCATGTCCAGCTTGACGCCGCGGAAGATCGAGGGCCTGTGCAAGAAGGGGATGTTTGCGCTGGCGTTTGGGAGTGGACCTCACGTTGTTGCTGCGACTGAAAATGGGGAGATTTACAGGTGGGTCCTATGAATGAGTAGATGTGAACAGATTTGTTGTCTTTTTGTCGCATCCTACAATGTACATGTATATTTCCTGTATGTTGAGATGATATCTCAGTGTAGTAGGCTGTTCCTTTTACAAATGGAAATAGGCCCAGTGATGAGATCAGTTTTTTTAGAATCCTCCACTTCCTATTCTTTGTCTTACCTGTCTGAGAGGTTTGACAGATACATTGTTTGTCTGAATGTTGTGCGTAGCATAGGGCCTATATGAATCCATCATCATTTACGTGGTCATCGTTACCATTACTGTTATCATCATGTTGATTAGCCTCATCGTCATCACTTTCATCAACATCATCAATCAATTATTTTCATCTTCAATAAATCATTATCATCTTCATTTCATCTATTATTATCATCATTATCATCACCATCATCATCATCATCATCATCATCATCTTAGGCTGGAATGCTCCTCAGGGAGTGGAGAATGTACATACATTGTGTGCGGGTAAGCATGAATCCGATGACCGGGGTAATAATTATATCTGTAAAGTGCTTTGAGAGTGCCTGTGGTCCTGAAATGCGCTATACAGTATAAGAACAAACTATTATTATTATTATTATTATTATGCATATTTTGTTTTGGTCATAGCTGGGGACACAATGGCTACTGTCAGCTGGGCAATGGCACCACTAATCAGGGGCTGCTTCCCCACCGTATAACAGGCAACCTTGGCTCGTGTAAGATCTCTCAAATAGCCTGCGGAAGTCACCACAGTCTTGTCCTCACCGATAGAGGAGAGGTAACGTAATATAATTCTTCTCATTTTTTTAAAAACAAATGTTTAATCGAGGGAATCTGACAATGTGTTTTCCAAGGTATAGTTGAAAAGTTTGATGGTTTTTAAATATCCACCCAGCGTTTCCCCGGATATGCCCCCCCCCCCTTCCCTCTCTCTCTCTCTCTCTCACCCCCTACCTCCTTTCCTGTTCTCTATTTCTTCCCCCCCCCCCCTCCTTAAATTATCCTAATTGTGAAAACAATATTTCAGGGCACCACACTCTTTTCGCAGGGGTCTTGAGTGTCATTTTGAGGGTCTGTTTGTAAGTGCCCCATATTGCCATTATCAAATTTTTGGGGTCCATACAATTAGATCTTGGGTGACCAATAGTCATGGGGCCCTGTTTATGTCAGGTTTGTACTTGTTCAGTTATTTGTCAAAACATATTTCCATATATTTTTTTATGATAATTATATCAAGTGTTTCCTATTATTTATCATTTATCTGTATGAACTGAAAATAAGGATAAATGTCCTTGTAGTTCTCAGTAGACCAATCCACATTTTCTTGAAATGAATCAATCTATTATCATTTTCTAATCGTGCCTGAGTATGTACAGTATATTTTACTTTTTGAAATATCGGCCCCTCATAATTCTGCACCAGGCACTTACTACTGTAAAGCCAGAATCTTTGTGAAAAGAATCTTTTGCAAATTGTCAAGGTCAGCCATTTAAAAAAAAATCACAAAACACTTAGTGTTGTGTCAATTTTGATTTGATCATTTTGCAGCATGAACATTTTGACAATCTGAACCACTGGCGAAATTCATCAAAAATAATTTGATGCTTGAGACAATTTTTGGTTTTACAATAAAGAATTTCTCACTGAATAAAAACATGGACCGGGGCTCCATGAATTGTTCATGGTTTCAAGAAATTACTCAAGTCACATAATTTCTGCTAGAAATTACTTTATTACCAGCCTACATATACTTAACTGATCTTTGAGAAGTGACTAACTTTTGTTTATAAGTGGCCCAAACATTGTGGAGCGGTGTGTGCAGTGCTTTGTAACCGCAAGGAAGAGGCGCTATATCAAATATCTTTTGGATTGGATTTAATATCTTATCTTTGTGTTTCATTTGAAATGTTTCGTTTTGAAAAGGTTTTTGCCTGGGGTTACAACAACTGCGGCCAGGTTGGGTCAGGGGCCACAGCTAACATCAGTACGCCCAGAAAAGTTGTATCGGTATTGGGTAAGTACAGACCAGAGTTAATTGATGAACAGGGAGTTGAGACATCAGAAGATTTAGAAGATTCTTCTAATTGATTAATCATTTTGTGAGGCTCCAAATAGTTCCTTTAATCCTTTCATAGAGATTGTGTGTCGAGTATCATTATGTAACCTATGAACACGTTTGTGTACTTATGCCTGTGTCACTATGAAACTTTATCCCCTAGGATGCTATGGTACAGACTAAATTCTGTAGGGGATTGAAGTTTACAGGGCTCTCCCATCATGATGTATATATTTTTTTTATCTCAGTTATTGCAAAAAAAGAAGTCATAATTCAGTTTTACCCTGTCATACTGTGTAGTTGATGCAGCTATAATGTGAGTATGTCTTTGTTACTATGTTAGGTGGAAAGCGTGTTGTCTCTATTGCTTGTGGACAGACATCTTCCTTGGCTGTTGTAGACAGTGGAGAGGTGAGAAACCAAAATTATTGTTTCCTTTTTTTCTTCATCTTCAATGACCTGTGATCCTCACAATTCCATTTAAAGGGAAAGTCCTGATATTTGGCTGGTTTTAATAAAAGTAACAAAAGAAAAAATGAGAAAAACAGATCTGTGAAAGTGTGAACAAAATCTGATTAGAAATAAGGAAAGTTTGAATTTTCAAAGATGAAGTCAATCACACACCAATAAGCAGATCTGTGATCTAGCTTTCAAGGTCAAATCCGATTTTTTTTTTCTTTCTCTAAAGAATAGTTACAATCTTACATGCACCTTAGATATAACCATTGTGTCGAGTAGCCTACTCACATGTCGCTTTCATGTTAGTTGAAACTGTGTTTAAACTGACAAAATCTTGTAATAGAAGTAATATTTGAAGGTTATATTCTTAATATAGTATCGTGTATAATATGAAAGGTACATTGGTATGTGCCTCACTGTGTATATTTTCTTCTTCGATTATATTTTTCATCAAGGTTTATGGCTGGGGCTACAATGGAAATGGACAGCTGGGTCTGGGGAACAATGTGAATCAACCCAGTCCATGTAAAGTGTCGAGTCTGAATGGCCTTATCATCTCACAGGTATTAAGCAGTCACTGTCCCTTCAAAGAGGGGACCAATGTGAACGAGCCTAATGGAGCTCTCACACTCTGTCGTGTAGGCCTACCGTCCACCTGCCGGGCTATTAAAAAAACAACAGAGTCCAGAACGTTGGGTTTTGAGCGAACTTGTCCCCGGCCGCAAAAAAAAAATTCATAAAATTAATCTTTTCACCATTTCGTTGCCATCTTCTGACCGTTCTCACCGGGCGCATACCGGGTGTTGAACGTGCTTCTACCGTCTTCACCGCCCAGATTGACTTTTGTTGAAAATTTTGGCCGTTTCCAATCCGGGCCCATACCGGGTCTTGAACGTGTGCACCGGGTTTGTAGCAGCCACCTACCAGTCACTTAGCGTCCCCTCACCGCTCGGAGCGCCCTGTGAGCGAGTCCCGGACTGCTGACGTCATGACACGACTGCCATAAATATCCCGATTTGAGCGGCAACGGTCAGTCCGCTCTCCATTTTTCATCACCGTTCTGTAACGGGTTATGAGCATGTTGTGAACGTGTTCATACAGTATGACCGTTTTCATAACGTATTCATACCTTCCTCATACCGTTCAACACCGTCCTCTTGCCGCTTACTTGCGGCCGGTGCCAGCCGGCCAAAGTTTTGAACATGCCCAAAACTTTCGCCGGGTCCCACCGGGTGTAAATAAGCGCCAACGCCCTATTAACGTGTTGCCCGCTTTGATAACGAACCACCGTGTGCCCTCGCCGTTCTCCACCGTCCGCAGACATTTTCGCGCACGGTGGCACACGGTAGCACACGGTAGGCCTACACGGCAGAGTTTGAGAGTCACTTAAAACGATACAGAGAATACAGTGTGAACAAGGGTGAGGGTTAATTCACAGCCAAGTGACCTGAAATGAAGTTAGTACCCTAAAAGATAAGTATATTCCCTAAAATTAATTTGTGTTATAAATACGATGTTCATTATTTGACCCTGCAGGTTGCGTTTGGCTATGCTTGTTCTATGCCCCTATCCAATGAAGAGCATGTTAATATTATTTATTTTGGGTTCGGTTTCAGTATAGTGGCCTAATAATTTAGTGAATTCCTGCTGTTACAGTGTACATTATTTACCCCCCCCCCCAGGCTGCATGTGGCTATGCCCATTCCATGGCTTTATCTGATGAAGGGAACATCTACACCTGGGGGGCTAACTCGTATGGCCAGCTCGGAACGGGAAACAAAGCAAACCTCTGTGGCGCTGCCAAGATAGGAGAGAGTATAGGAAGGTGAGTCTTGGGTAGTTGATTATTTTAACAACATGGCCTTCAAATTTCATTTCTATGTGTTTTCATGTTTGCAATTGTAATCGCAAATATGATCCTACGTAGTTGAATTTTCTATTTAATTCAATTCATTTTATTTTCACATTCTGATAAAAATCCCAATAACAAATATTTACAATAAAAAGTCAAATCAAACAAATAACACAACAGAACAGAAGTATCAAAATGTGGGGCGACAAACAAAGGCCAAAGGCTTATCAAAGGCTTGTCCCCAAACTATATAAATAATTAAATATGAATTAAGGAAGACAGAAAAAGACTTGAGAAGGAAAATAGTCAGAAATAAAAATTAAAAAAAAAACAACAACAACTATTTTTAAGCAAAATTGACTCTTACATACCTGGGCTCATATCCATAAAACCTAACTAGGCACTAGTAGCCAATGAAAATCGTTAGTTACAAATGTACCAATTATTGATTAGCCAACTCACACAACTAGTTGGGAACAAGTCACTGTGTGCCTTCGGGTGGGGGTAGACTAGGTGGAATACATGTAACCGAAGTACATTAGTCTGAATGGATAAATTACATATTCTTTGTGCAGCATTTTTAAGTCTAGTTGCCAACTAACTTGGTATTCATAAAACCTTACTAGCATTTATTGAGACATCAGGGCTCAGTTTAAAGCCCCACTGCACTACTTATAGCTATTTGCGCCCTCTATATTGCAAACAATGCCTAAGCGGTGACCATTGGTCCCCCATGGTCATCTTTTCCTTATGTTAATTGAGAGCTGATTTGATGAGATAAAACCACTTGTCAGTGACCATACAGGGAGGTCCATTCCCTCCTGGCCAAACTATTGCAGATAGTCTTTAAAGGAAAACTGTATTGACTCGGGCCTGGTGTTTTTCTTTCTGTGACAGGTTTATCGATATTGCAGCCACCCACTACGCCCACATCTCGGCCGCCATGACCCAGACCGGGAAGGTCTACATGTGGGGTCAGTGTCGGGGTCAATCCATCACCTCTCCCATGGAGACGCGCTTCACTTGCCTGGACGATGTCTTCGCTTGCTTCTCCACTCCCGCAGTCACCTACAGACCCCTCACATTTGGTAAGAGGGGCGAGAGGGCTGATAAGGAAAGGAGGGGGAAGGGAAGGAGAATTAGTGAGAGAGAGAGAGAGAGAGAGAAAGATAAGAGAGAGAAGATAGAGAGAGAGAGAGAGTAAGAAAGGGTGAGAGGTAGAGAGATGGATGGTGCCTTTGTGTGATTCTCCTCCGGCAGTCACCTGCAAGACCCCTCACATTCGGTAAGAGGGGCAAGAGGGCTGATAAGGAAAGGAGGGGGAAGGGGAAGGAGAATTAGTGAGAGAGAGGGAGAGAGAGAAAGATAAGAGAGAGAAGATAGAGAGAGAGAGAGTAAGAAAGGGTGAGAGGTAGAGAGATGGATGATGCCTTTGTGTGATTCTCCTCCGGCAGTCACCTACAAGACCCCTCACATTCGGTAAGAGGGGCGAGAGGGCTGATAAGGAAAGGAGGGGGAAGGGGAAGGAGAATTAGTGAGAGAGAGAGAGAAAGATAAGAGAGAGAAGATAGCGAGAGAGAGAGTAAGAAAGGGTGAGAGGTAGAGAGACAGATGATGCCTTTGTGTGCTTCTCCTCCGGCAGTCACCTGCAAGACCCCTCACATTTGGTAAGAGGGGCGAGAGGGCTGATAAGGAAAGGAGGGGGAAGGGGAAGGAGAATTAGTGAGAGAGAGAGAGAAAGATAAGAGAGAGAAGATAGCGAGAGAGAGAGAGAGAGAGAGAGAGAGAGAAGATAGCGAGAGAGAGAGAGTAAGAAAGGGTGAGAGGTAGAGAGATGGATGTTGTCTATGTGTGCATTTCTCCTGCGGTCACCTACAGACCCCTCACATTCGGTAAGAGGGGCGAGAGGGCAGGAAAGCGGGAGGGCTGATGAAGGAAGGGGATGGGGAGGGGGCGGGGGAGTTGTGAGTGAGATAGATAATAGAGAGAGAGAGAAAGAAATAGAGAGAGACAGAAAGAAAGAGAGGGGGAGAGGCATAGAAATGGAAGACGTCTTCATGTGCTTCTCTCCGGCAATTGCCTACAGACCCCTCACAAATGATTACAGGGCGGGAGGGCAGATAACTGTGGGGGATTTAGAGAAAGAACATAACTTTGAAACTTAACAACACTTAAATTTTAAGCAACTCCATTTATCAACTTATAAAAGTCATCCCTCCTTTTAAAGCCTCACTGCAATACTGATAGTTGCTTGCTCCCTCTATATAGCAAACAATGCCTAGTCGGTGCCCGGTGGTCCCCAATGATCCCCTTTTTCTTATGTTAATTGAGAGCTGATTTGATGAGATAACCACCTGTCAGTGACCTTGCAGGGAGATCTAATCCCCCTGGCCAAACTAGTGCAGACAGGCTTTAATCTACCTATATTATAAGCTGTTGGTACCCATACACTGTTCTAAAGTTTTCTTCCATCTTGACTAACTCCATTTCTCACACCATCTCTCTTGCTCCCTCTAGAAAACTTCATCGGGAGGCGGTCTCTCGAGGAGACGTTATCTCTAGCCTTTGATAACCAGGAAACGTCAGATTTGAAATTCTTGGTCGAAGGAAAGAACATCCACGTACACAAAGCCCTTCTCAAAATCAGGTTGGTTTGATAATAATAATAATAGTTTGTTCTTATATAGCGCTTTTCAGGACCGCAGTCCCACCCAAAGCACTTAACAGATATATATTATTACCCCTGTCATCGAATTCAGGCTTACCCACACAAAATGTATGCACATTCTCCACTCCCTGGGGAGCATTCCAGCCAGGCGTCATTTTTACAAGCGCACACTTGCTCATCTAACCACATTAACTTTTGAATCCTAACAGGAACTTCTGTAGGAAATAATCTTGTTTGGTTGTTGATCACAACGTAACAAACGCAGTAGCACAAACGTTTTATTTCTTGTTTTATACCTTGCAGATTGATTCAAACTCAAATTTGGCAAAATTGACATTGTTATGTTCTGTAATAAAAGGATAAAGATATGATTGGGATTTATGATAAGGGTGTACATATATGAATGGGTTATGTAGATATACTCAAAGAAACTAAACTCATTTGGTATTCTTTGCCTGGTAAATCAAGTTGTATGGTAGGGCGATGCAACCATCCATGTAAAATACATAATAGATAAATTAATAAAGCCGGGGTAATACTATGATTGCAGGGCTCTCAGGGAGAACAGTATTAATTCTGATGAGGCTACCCAGGATAAACAAGACATATCATCATTATTATTATTGATTTTGCTGTTGTTGTTATTATTATTGTTATTACATGAAAGAATAAGTGAATAAGTGAATAAATGTTTGATGTTTCAGATGTCTTCACTTCAGGAGCATGTTCCAGTCACATTGGGATGAAGATGGAAAAGAGTAAGTGAAACTTTCATGTACCACTTCAGGATCTCTTAAGTAATCTGTGCTAGGAAGGCCCCTTTTATTTTGTAGAGGTTTTGTGGCCTAGTGGATAAGTCTCTGGACTGTGAACCACAAGGTATGGGGCTCGAATCCTACCGCGCCACTAATGTCCTTTACAAGATATAAATCTAAATTTTCCACACTTGACCGATTTGCAGTATCAAGCGGGTACCTGGTAATAGTGATTCCTTGAATGCACTTAGCGCTACAGTTGCCGGAGCTAAAGCCGAGGTAATAATATCCAAAGTCCTTTGGAAGCACATAGAGACATTTTATATCATTCATATTGTGATATGCGCTATACAAGAACGTCATGTTGTTATTATTTTTTTTAACACGCTAACTTTGGACATGATTTTTTTCGTATTTCGTACCTCCTTTGTGTCTACATTTTGTTTTAATTGTGCATAGAAATCAAATAAATAAATGAATGAATAGACAAGAAAAACAGTGTTCTTTATGTACAAGTTCCTTTAGTTTACGATACAATGACAAACTTTATTCAAGGGAAACAAATACTGTGATCTTTCAGCGCTGTACTAACGTGACTATAATTACATGTATTATTTTGTTTGATTGATTTGACAGTTTAATAGAGATAACTCAGTTTACTTATCCTGTCTACCACGCCTTTCTGGAGTACCTCTACACCGACTCCGTCTCATTACCGCCCCAAGATGCCATCGGTAAGCTATTATCTCAGTCTCATTTGATGAATAGAGATGAAGTTGAGTTCTGGGCCCAATTTCACAAAACTGATCATTAGTGAAAAGTGACAGTTTATTGTTAAAAGCTAGTAAAATCCTTGCCTCTGATTGGTTATCAGCAGATTTGTGACTGATTTTTGTTATTCGTCATTTTTAAAAGGCTTTGTGAAATGGGTCCCTGGTCATGTGATTGCATTGTAGCAGAGATTGGCTGGAAATAATTTTTAAGGTTGATTGTGTTCTTTTATATTCAATTGGCCACTGGTCCAGAAACAAAAATTTGATTGCAATATTCTTACTATTCAAAGTGAAAAAACATCCACATCTAAGCACACTGGAGAAAGGGGGATGATCGGGGGGGGGGGGGGGGGGGGGGGGGTTGAGTTCGGAATTAACAAAATGATAACAACTTGCCTCAGTCAGTCTCATTGAAAGTCACTAGCACTGCACACAGTAATGTGTGTATAGGACTTACACACACACAGGCTGTATGATAGTCTGGTCTAAACACTTATCCTATTTTTGTCATGTTTTGAATATGAGGGCATTTGAAGAGCAATTTCCTTGTCAGAGGACATTTTTCCTTAACATTCTTCTATATTAGCATACAAAGAAAAAAGCTCACAAATTATTTTCACCTTTTCCAAACCTCAACCTTCTCTTCAAGGGTTTTTCAGAAAAAGGTTCTTCATGTACAACAGTATCAGTATCAGTTAACATGTATGTTTATGTTTTGTAAATATGTTTTTGATTATGTTGATACAGGGCCCCTTGGTCGAGCAGTTTTTATAACTAAAAGGGCTACCCTGTCCAAATAAAACGACAAATAAATAAATAAATAAATAACATGGGGTTTCTCATCCTCCCTTCACCCTCTAGGCCTGCTGGATCTTGCCAACTCGTACTGTGAAACACACTTAAAGAAGCAATGTGAACGTATCATCAAGCAAGGGATCAACGTGGACAATGTTGCCATACTGCTGGAAGCAGCCATCAGATATGTAGCCCAGGTAATAATAATAATAATTAATAATTATAGGCATTTCTATAGCGCCGAGGCACCCGAGGCACATTAACTATTAGCTGCCGTTACAGCGATCCAGAATTTCAAGGAATTAATTCCTGCCAGGTACCCAGGTATTATCTTGTTTAGTTTAGCTCAGTTCAGCTCAGTTGATTTGATTTGATTTATTTTTATTTTTCTTCACAGTCTTTTTCCAAAGTTACTTACATATTACAACATATTTATGATAGTAAACAAATTATATAAATAGTACATCATCAATGTAAAATACTTATATTGTAATACTAATATCAAAAAATCAAAAAGGATTGCCTCATAAGCTAGGTGTGGTAATCTTTTTATAAAACTGAATAATTCTTCTATACAAAACTGATGTTGGGGATGGGAGTAAAAAAAGATGTAAGTGAAGACGACAGGAGGAGATGGTGAATAGTGGGATAATGGTGATGGTTTTGCTGAAGAGAAACAGAGAATAAGGCAGAAGGCAACTTCATTAACTTCATTACAATACATGTAATTCTACATTAAACAAATACAGTGACATAAGCATGTAAAGCTGTTAAACAAGAATTCTTATATTGACAGTTTTCCAACTAAAACAGGATTTGATGGATATAGAATGTGATAAACAAAATTGGAGTAAATTATGAAAATTTAAAGCCTCTTTGACTATTCCTGTGTTTTGAAAGATTCTTTTGAAGAAAAACAAAACAAAACAGGGTTTTGTTCAAAACAAATTTGATTTGATTTTTTTATTAGGCCTCTTAATCCTTTTGCGCCAGTCATTCCACATTATGTGGTTGGGCTCAATAACTTTTGAATATTTGAAAATATGCCAGATACATGAGTAGAAAGTGCAAAAATTTCTACACATACTGCATCCATTTTTGTTTCATGAATATCTTGCGTTTGATGTCAGGAATTTTAAAAAAGGAAATTAAGCTTTAAAATCCTTAAATTGGCAAAACGTTTAGAAATTCAGAATCATTGTTTTTCGATCAAAATTGGCCAAATATAGTGTTTTCAGAGACATAAGATATTATTCTAACAGTGTAGCAATAAAAGAAAAATATTATTGTTGCCAATTTAAAGAACAAAATGTGATCAATCAAGCCCTAAATCTAAATCCTGTCCTGACAGGGTTCCATACTGCTACACGAAACACAATTATCATTATTATCCACAGGATCTCCAGGCCTTCTGTTTCAAGTTTGCTGTGAACCACTTGACCGCCGTGGTCAAGACCGATGCCTTCAAGAAGCTGGATGAAGTCTACATGAAGGACTTCATTCAAAAGGCTGGGGAATGGGGTGCTTTTAAGTATTGACCATCAACAGATCATGATCCATAAACCCTTTACGGTACTCACATTAGACTTGGCTAGAAATGGATAGAAATCACTTCAAAGTTAGATATGAAAATCTGAAAATATTTTTTTTTAAAGCACATTCCATATACTGTATGACTTCATGCAGAAGGCTATATAGTGGGTTTCTTAAAGTTCTGACAATCAACGTATCAAGATCCATAAACCCTCTACTGAACTTAAACTCGACTACACCTACATCTTGGTTTTGGAAGAAATTGCTTCAAGATTAGATATGAAAATCAGAAAATGAACAAACTTCTAACTTTCATACCATGTACGATTTCATGGAATGAGAATGAGATGCTTTCAAGTATTGACCATCAACGGGTTATGATTCATAAACCTAACACCTTTTTTTACAACTTGGTTAGGATTAGGGATGCAATTGGGTTTAAGAATAGATCTGGAGTTAGGGTTATTTATGGGGTTTGGTCCAGATTCGTAGTTAAAAAATTGGTTAGTGTACATAAATGACCGTGAAGCAATCGTCGTGGGGGCAGGTTAAGTACAATCCAGATAAAGTCACTGATCGCCTGGCTTAGCTCATCATGATATACACTGAAATCATAGAGAAGAGACCCTGCTGCATTGTGGAAACGAATCATGTACACAATAAATAGTGCAATACATTACGTAGAGGTGTTGTGGTCAAGTGGATACGTCGCCGGACTGTCGATCGCAAGGTCCGCGGTTCGAGTCCCGCCGCCGCACTAATGTCCTTTGGCAAGACATTGATCTACATTTGCCACACTCCACCCAGGTGAAGTAAATGGGTACCTGGTAGGAATTTATTCCTTGAAATGCTAGAGCGCCGTATGGCAGCCGTGCTAAAGCCAGGGTAATAATCGGGAGCGCCAGGAGGGTCAAATCTGACTGACATGAGCGCTATACAAGAACCCACTATTATTATTATTATTATGCTGTCAGAATAATTAGAGGCAGTCATTTGACACCAAACTACTTGTGGTTGATATTTGAAATAGATGTAAAGGTGGAAAATGGAGCTTGAATTTTTTTCGTTTTCCTACCTTTGTTGGATGTACTGTGTTTGGTAAGGGCATAAGTGTATTCCTCTGTATTCCTGTGTAGTGTTATTTATTGTTGTTTAAGACACAGCAATATTAATCCTACCAAATGCTTAGAGAATTCCTCCAATCAATCGCACGTTTCCAGTCTTCTATCTCTTTTGTACAAAATTGTGATTGATATCAACTCTTTGTCACACGGGGCCCAGGACTGAATTCCTAATTTTGGGGTATTTTTTCTTATGTACTTTTCTATATATATTTAATTTTTGTATTTATTAGGAGGATATATATTTATATTTATTAAAGGTAATTTATTTGTAATTGCTGGTTTAAGATGTTCTATCTAAGATATTGATATGGGTTTGATTGTTTTCTAATTTCTCTTATTTTTCACTTTTTTATTTAAAGTTTTCTATTTTTTCACTTTGAACTGTAAGGATCCTGATATCAAGTTTGTTTCTTTTCTGGACCAGTAGCCACATTGGTCTTTTGTCCCCGCCGTCTTTTAAACTTCCTCATTCCCATTTCTTTATCCGTTTCACTAAATTATATGCTCTTATCAAATTCATTATTAAGGGCAGAATGGACTCCTTAAACATTTTTTTTTAGCAGATGTTTCTGCATTTATTGATAAATCAAATATAAAACATTCAAATAACAATAATAGTATATAATATAATTGATTCACATAAAGAGTGACAACTTAATGCACACAGATAAAAAAAAAATGCATAATTGAAAGCTTTAAAGTATGGAGGTAAGTAAAAATAATCAAGATAAATGCAGAAGCCAACTATCATAAGCAAGGATGCTTGAGTTGATAGCAGTGTATAACAAACACCAAAAATGCAAGCATGCACAAAAGCAGCTCAATCATTTATCACATACCATTTGAATAACAAGTTTGTTGTAATACATCTTCAAATACACAACTGTATTTGTGTGTTGAATATGCTTTTTATGCCAAATCGTGTCACTTCATATTGACTTGTTGTATGCATGATGGTCAGAAATCTGATGAAAATAGAGGTATATGCAGAAAAAAAAATTGTTTTTGCGTTAAAGAACAAGAAATTAAAGAAAAAGCATCTCATATTTCAAAAAAAGAACCTGTGATTTGTATATTATCAGGCAAATTACCTCGTAAATTCAATATCCTATTTTATATCGCATAAAAATCACTTTCGGATTATATGATATGTCCTTGTTATGCCAAAGGTGACGAACATGTACAAGGCCACTGACAATTCTTTAGTTTGATTTTTCTAAAGTATTCAAAATTGTGTTTAATACATATATAGATGAGAATTTTCAATCCATCATGTTTGTAAGTATATATATATATATATATATATATATATATATATATATAGTGCGGTATGGTGTGTAATACCGTAGGATTTTTTTGCGAAAGTTGATTTTTTTTTGTTGTTGCTGTTTTGGCTTCAAAAGGGTCCCACTTGGCCAAAAATGATGGGGTTCAAATTTTCAGACCCCTCCTTCATTTCCGTGGGGGGTCCATATTGGGCGCCAAAATGGCATATATAATGCGCATTAGGGAAATTTGGTGTCTTCAGGAAAATTTGAAGCCCATCAAATTCTGATAGCTTGGACCCCAATGAATCCAAAAATGCAACCAAAAAAAAAAAATCAACTTTGGCACAAAAATCCAACGGGAGCTGTTTCAGTGACATACCGTACCACACTCATATATATATTACCATTTTTGCCAAACTACTGACAAAGCAATTTTGATTAGCTAAAAACAACCCGTGCTAATGTACAGAAATAAAGCAACTCCATGATGCATGTATATGTATTTTTTCAGGATGCTCAAATAGTCCAAAAAAGGATCTTTTGATCTGCAATTTTGTTATCATATTTTATTATCCACAATCTAATGGGAGCAACGAGTCAATGTCAATGTCCATGTCATCCCTAAAGACTCTCCTGTAACCTAGCTGTAACATCATCTAAACAAAATGAATGGAAAATACCCTTGACCAAGAACGTTGAGTTTGTGAGACAAACACTATGAATATGACGGACAAAGAAAGAGGACAAAATGAATATGCATGTGACACCTTTTCTACACCTTTTTACATTATAGCAGTGAAGGGATGTTCATTTGTCTACCACAGCAATTATTGAGGGTAGAATGAGGAACTGTTTAATTTGTCCTCTTTCTTTGTGCGTCATGTTCAACATTGAGTTTGTGAGACACATTATAGAGTTAATGCTATGAGCGCCTATCAAAGGCAGATACCGGCGCTCTACAAAAAATACCATCACCATTATAACACAAGAGACAGCAAATTAGTACAAATGTATGAAATAGACAAGCCAATTTCAGAGAAACATCTCTTACAAAAGAACAAAATAGTTCACCCCATTCATAAGAGCAAACTTATATGGGAATCTTTATCTTGCAAAGAAAGTTGAGCTGTTGCGGCTTGTATTCTGTTCTTCCATGTACAATGTCTTTTGTATAATATTTAAAGTGAACTAGTAATTAAAACAGACGCTCTAAAGATTTTCTTCTTGCCCTCATCACAATGAACAGAAAACCGAAATCGGACAATATAAGCGGAAGCTAAAGGAACAAATCACACGGGAAAAATATCTGGCTTTGTTCCTGAAGCTTCCACTTATATTGTCTGATTTCAGCTTTCAGTTCATTCTTGTGATTTACTCTGATGAGTGCAGGACGAAAAGCTTTAGTGTGTCTGTTCTCGTTGCTATGTTTCGATGTGGTACCCAAACATCTCTTTGATATTTTATTTATGTATTTCTTGTATTCAAATCTTTAGCTTTCTTGTTTCGAATCGTAAATGTAGGAATGTTGTAGAACGAATTATAAGGGGCCAAAAAAGAATTGTATATGGCAGTCTGATTAAATGCATTCCTTGCTCATTTATTGACCACATCAATTTTGTACAGTAGCTTTTTATTGCAGGTGACTGTGTTGAGTGAGTAAGTGGGTAGATAACATATGTGTATATGTGCGTGTGCGTGTTTATGGGTGGCGTGGTGAGTGTGTGTGTGTGTGTGTGTGTTGTTTGTGTACGCATACGTGTGCGTATGGTGGATGGTTGTGCGCTTGTGTGTGTGTTTGTGTGTAATTGGGACAAATGTGTGAATTGATAGTTAATTTCTGATAGCTTTATAGCTTACATTCTTAACTTTTCATTTATTGATGAAGGGATATGATCAAATGTACATTGCGCTCTTTTCTAGACACCTGTAAAAATATCTTCAGTGACTGGTCCCTCAGAAACTAGTGCTTAGCCATCCAGTCACAGAGAATTTAGGATTTCAACTGAGGCCTGTTAGTGAATGGTAAATTTGATTTTTATTCAAATGTTATTTTGAAATCTTCCCATATAAACATGATGTATTGACATATGGGATTTATCATATTTAGATTCTGAATATTGAAAAGGATGCCAATAATAGTTGTACATAATAATTGTCATTCAACATATTTTCTCTCTATCCCTCTTTCTCCCCCTCTTGTATAAGGAAAATATGAATAATTTTATTATTGGGCACGGAACACTTTATCAGTTTTAAACATGAAATGGAGAGGGAATAAATCCAAACGAACGTTTAAGAAACCTACTAAATTTTTTATTCGTGATGGATACGAATGCATGTGTGTTCAAATGTGAAATAATTGAATATATGGTAAATGAATGTGGTGACTTGTCGGTTACGAACAAATAATGAAACAATTTGTTCTGAGCTCATATTTTTAGACACGTTGTTCAATGTTACAAGAATGCGGTAAAATGTTCGTTTCGAGCAGATGGTCATGGCAGGCCTCGACATTCTGTAAATCTAGAAGCTATCTAGACAGTACCTCAACAGAAAGCTGGATAGAGACACTTCGTCACATCAAGCTACGAGAAAGTTTATCATCATCTCACCGAATCCTACTCGAATACCGCATCGAAATCAGGTAGGTCCAACTAACCCTTATGCCTGTAGGCTGTAGCACATGAGGCGTCTCTCTGATTGCGTCAGTTTGATAATGTTATCAACTATTTAGGAGCGCTAAAACCAAAAGTACTTTATTGCTTACAAAGTAACAGAATGCGAAGAGGAACATAAAACTCATGAATAGGTAAATAATACTTACTGAAGGAAGAAGTATGTTTTAAAAGGGTTGGGTTCAATTTTACGCATAGAAGGTAAAAACAGGGCCATACATGTTTGTTGGGTAAGACTTTATACCAACACTAGGTAGTGTTTAAACAATTTGGGGTACATTTTACCTAGACCGAAAGCTTCAGTCTCTCTAATCGTCGGTTGTTCCACTGAGACTACGTCTGGCTCCACTAGACCTCCGATTATAGAATGTCAAAAAATGTCAGTTTTATTAAAGAAATGACCCATATCAGACGGTTATTTTTGTCTACATTTTACCCAGCTACATACATGCTAAAAATATAATGGCTCATACCAAAGGTTGAGTGTGAAAACAATTAGTATTTTGAAAGCAAATTACAATTTAGGAAGGTAGGTTTAAGTTACGTGTGTCTGAGTAATGGTATACACGGTAGTATTTCAAGTACTAGACTTTCATAAAGCGAAGTATATGATTTGATTTAGACATTCTGAAGCCTTCGGCTTTGCATTCATCAGATAGAGCTAACCGCTATTCCCGTATTTTCTGGCAGTCAATCGTCTCGAA